CAAACACGCCGGCAGTCGCGCCTCGTCTGGGCGCGCGCTGTCAGGCGCCCCGAAGTCGGCAGCCGCGCGTTGGGCGCCACAGCCGCCCAGCGCGTCTGCAAGGCGTCAACCGCCCAGCTCGCCCGCAAGTGCTCACTTGCTTGCCGCAGCAAGGACGTTCCGCCCACGCTGGGTACTCTGGCGATGAATCGGCTCCTTTTACGGGAGAAGTAGCACCAGCTTCGTATGGGACGGTTATACGTCCCGTCCTTGATGCGAACAGTGACCTACGGGACGAGTCCGTCGCCGGAAGGGTGCATCTTGACGACACGCCCCAGAGGCCACTGGCAGCGGGGAGAGTCGTCCTCGATGACGAGCACGACGCTGTCTGGTGCAATGTTGTCGAGCTCCGTCGTCTATTTCCTCCTCTCCTGGAGGCTCGGGAGGAAATCCGAGCGCCATCGCCGCCAGAACTGGTCTGCGAGGTACTGGACTCGTCGCCAGCGCCGACGGCAGTATATGTCACCTCTCTGAAAGGTACCAGGCGGAGACAAAACTTAACCACATTTCTGTGTTAGAAGGCTCATGGATGAGATTGGGTGGTGGCCATCAGGGTCATGTAGGAAGTGAGCAGCCTGCTGTTAACAATCGCCTCAACTTCACTCGGAAGGGCTCGCAAGAAGTCATCGTGCAGTTGGGCTTGACGGCATTCTTCAATGAGACCGCCCAATACAGCCCGGACGGAGCGGATCATTCTCCCAACCTCATCGTACTTTCCGCTCTCGCGAAGGGCTGCACTTGTCAGAAATAATGGACTGTGCCACCACAGATCGCTGCTTACGAGCTCTTCTGCCTCTGCTCCTCGAGAAGCCGGATTTGCCGGGATTTTCTCCGTCACAATATGTCTCCACTGACTGGGTTTGGTATGGTCACGGATTTGCGGCACGTGGTTTGCCACATAGACGTGGAATCGCCTTGCTTCGTTCGATATGTAACCTAGTACTACCTTGCTGTCTGTCCAAAATAATTCTTTCACGTTCGATAATCTCAGCTCATCTTGAAGAAAACGACTGATCTTCACGGAGAGCACAGCAGCTGTCAGCTCGAGTCTCGGTATAGTTATCGACTTGGTCGGTGCCACACGAGACTTACTCACCACCAGTGAACAGTTCACCAGCCCGTTCCTGTCCGCTGTCCTCAGGCAGCTACACTGTCCGTAGCCGACTGAACCGGATCAGAAAAATGGTGCGATTCAATTGTCATTCCGTTCTGCAGCCCACCTTACACGAAGCATCGCGGAACGCTGACGTTCTTCAACGCCGTCATGCTTGCTCTCCACTTCTCCCACACTCTTGCCACGCCATCTGGTACAGGTTCGTCCTACCCAAGGCCTTCGCGGCACAACTCTGTCAAGAGCAGCTTGCCCTTCATTAAAGAACGATTGACAGCCACTACCACGACACGCTGCATATACGTGAATTAGGATGTGAGAAAATACGTGTATATGCAAAACGAATTAAGGGCATCACGCGCCACGCCTCATTTAAACATGCAAACGAGTTAAATTAAATAGGCATCACACATAGAGCATCAACTATACATGCAGGCGATTCCAATTGAGCAGGTATCGCACGTCACATGTCAAGCATCGCTTACGCATGTAAACGATTTTAGGCTAGCACACATCACACATAGAGGCGCATATCACGAAAGGTGCATTAATGTCAATATGAGTTAAAGCCTTTTAAAAAATGCTTCTAATTAATCGCATGCAGAAGGGTTACCAGAGGGCAGCATTTTGTTCAGTGTAGACGTTGTCAATCTATATCGCAACATACCAGTCAATGAGGCTATCGCTGCCGTGAAAGCTAAGGCAGATAAACATTCCAATAACATTAATGGTTTCGGTCTGTCAAAAGAAGATATCTGCGGTCTTTTAGTACAGTGTTTCCAGGATAACGTTTTCTCGTTCGGAGATGACTTCTACCGACAAAAATTGGAAACAGCAATGGGGAACCCACGCGCTCCTCCTATGGCAATACTGTTGTTAGACCAAGTTGAAACGAAGGCCCTGGCCGCCGGCCCATTAAAACCAACTGTCTTAGCTAGATACATCAATGATTATGCTGGGGTATGGACGCACAGACAGCGTGTCCTCGAAGAGTTTTTAGAGCTCATGAACAACCAGCATCTAAATTAAGCTTTTACGATGGAGCATACAGGGGGCTGAAAGGGGATCTCATATTTGGATACACTAGTGACGATGGAAAGGAGGAACAACCTCAAACCGTTAGAAACGGAGCTCTTTGTCAAGCCCACCAACTCTGGTATCATTCTGCGCCGCGGGTCTGTGCATCAACGTCCACTAAGCACAACATAATTCGTTACACGTTTCATAGGGCATAGCTTCATAGTTTCATGTTTCGAAACAACTCATCAAGTAGTGGAAAGGAAAGAAAGAGCATAAACAAAATATGGACTTTGCTGTTGGGCAATGGATATTTTCCGCGGCTTATAGGTAGAATATTGGGAGAAGCAAAAAATTCTAGAGCACGTGGGGGGATGAGGGGCAGGAGGCGGGAACACGTCCTATCGGACGATTCCTAACGCAACCTTACATAGACGAACATTTGCTTTGGAAAATCAAACACATCGTTAAAAATCAAAACTGCGCGTACGCATGGCTTGGAAGAACGACAATAAGCTAAAAAAGTCTGGAGAAATCTTCCGTCTCGAAGCCTAAGTTAGTGCTTGGGTGGCAATAAAAGTCATTTATGCGAGTCTGGGTTTCAGGGGATTTGCACGCAAAAAAACGCGGGTCACGAAATCAAGTGTAGACTGTGCAAAAAACATGGCAGGGACGTATTCTATGTGGGAGAGTCCATGTGGCTTATTCGTTTGAGATGTAATGAACACCTGCGAGACGCTAAAAACAAAACAGGGAATACCCCTTTTAGCGATCGCTGCGCACTGCTTTTTTTACACTGGAGATTTTGTATCATACACTTGTGCATACTAACCAAAATTTGGACGAGGCGCGGTCTCAGTTACTGGAGAAATCATCGGACGCATCAAAGCACTCTCACCTAAATGAGTTCGCTCCGTTGGCACTCGTAGAACTGCGTGCTCGGTCACTATCGCCGAATCCCTCGTTCGATTCCGTGGTCGATGTGGATTCAAGGTCTACATGCCTGCCAAGCCGTGAAAATATGACATACTCTGCCGCACTGTCGCCGGTGTCGAACAACGCTACGTGTGGAAAACCTGGCCGTATGCAGGGCGATCCACCCAGCATGACCTGGCGCCGGTGGACACCGTGATGCCGTCCGTGCCTGGTCTGGTCCCCCTTCTGACCAGGGAGCCGGCTGGATCATGTAGGAGTGGCACCATGGACCGCTACTTCACCTCGGTAGAGATGTTGGACCGGCGGAAGGAACAGAAACTCTCTGGCGTCGGAGCTTGGTATCAGCGGAGGCGGCTCATCCCGTCCGAAATGAAGACAACGCGGGACCGGCAGATGGGCTCCATGATCGCCTGCTCCGAATGGAGCCCACACTTATCTCCCAATGCCCCAAGACCGGGAAGGAAGTTTGCCGCCTTCCGCCTAGCGGCGCGTGTAGACACCAAGGCCGGCAAACCAGAAATGGCGCCTTAATACCACGCCACGAAGGGCGGTGAGGATCTCTGTGACGGCATAACCGAGGCAGGCACACCCATCGCGGCAGCCCCCGCGTTTTTTTTTTTAAAAAAAAAAACGCGGCGGCCGCCGCGCATATTTGAGCGCGGTTAAGCTAAGCACGACTCTTTGTGTGTGCATGCACGCTGCCATGGATAGCGGATCCATGGAAGGGTGATAAATTAAACCCGGTCCATTGCTGCAGGCACTTAACAATTAACACGACCATGGATGCACCGTTTTTGAATGCTGGCGTATGCTAAACGAAACGAGTAACGGTAAGACGAATCCGGCCGCAAAAATGACAGTCGAGGAACAAACGGCCGGCAGTCGTCTCGAGCTCACAGCTAGTTTGAGCTCAAGTATCAGTAGGTGCTCCATGCTTTCGCTTGTTTCGCATTGCGTGTGATGATAACAGGAGTCGTGCATGATAAATCAGTAATAATGCGCCCATGTGCAAATCACGGCACGTCAAAGTGCAGCCCTGAGTGTACCGAGCATCATGGCAAGTCGCTTCATGGCGTTTCGTCAACTTGACCTTTTTCAGGTCAAATATGGTCACTGACCTGGTATAGGCACCAGTGATCTTTTGCTTAGCGCCGGCATCCAAGTGCAGGGCAGTTCCACGAGGAGATGTAGGGGAACTTCAAACACTAGTCTTGAGCTTGACATGTTTTGACCTTACTTGATCCGAAGATCATGACCTAGCACCGTTAAACTTTGGCACGAGTGAGTTCAAAAACGGGCCAACCGACCCTGTGCATTTGGCGTCTTTAGCTTTCTTAGTAATTAAGCTCACAGAGGATTAAACTGCAGCCCTACCCGAGTGTGAGGTATTCAATCGTCCACCCGGGCGCGTGGTTAAGGTCAGAGGAGGTCACTGGTCTAAAATGGCCCAGATCAACAACCATTTGCTTTTAGGAACGGATCGCATTGCGTAATCCTCAACGGGCATTCAAAATAAAAGATCAAAGCAATCACGTAGGTTTTTGTTTATTATGACCTTCTAACGTTCAAGCAGTCGCTGATCTACCATGAATACCAGTGGCATGCTGCTTGGAACTGGTATATAGGGTCAGACGGTCGCAAACGAAGGCCTGGGGACAGTCCGCAATGGATCAGAATGGTCATTGTCGATGAGATAGTTTTTAAGTTTTGCTAGATTAAAAAAATGTATTTGCAGCTTTTTAGAATTAGCGTCGCTTCTTAGAACTGCAAACGTTATTCAGTAATGCAAATCTTGCTTTTTCTTCCTCCTTACACATCGGATTAACGAATAGTTTCAAATTAGTAGTGGTGCCTTAATGCAAAGCTATTTGTCGAAGTTGCGCCAATTCCGTTCATTTCCGTACATTCAGAGAAACGTATGGTGCGGGGGTAGACCCGTCATTCGTAAGTTACGGTTTGGACGCTCCCTGGGTTTGTGGATGCACCTGTCAGTTTTTGAAAGTATATTTAGGTTTAACGAAGATAACTCTGACGCTGTAAACTGTGCCCCGATCTACAAGCGAAGACATTCGGCGTAAAGGTAAGGATGTAGTTCTGCGACATGTTGCACTCTTGTGGTTAGTTGTAAGGTACTCAACTCGCCTCACTCGGCTATCAAAGGCTTTGTAATACAATTTTATGGAGGGCAGATTTGGGAACAGCATGATCTGAGTGATGCTCATAACTTGAAACTGCTGGGACCACATATACACGAGTAAATGCTGCCTGACACTTAATATGGTCTGCATTGGAAGTGGGCAACTGAATGCACGCACCTGCCACCATTTAGAACAACTAGTTCTTCACTTGGCAGATATTTTTAAGCATCTGGTATCAGTGGGCATGTTAAAGCCCTCATTTATCAATGAGGGGACATGAGCATGTAAGAAGCCAATCTACTTTGAAACATGTCCATTGGGTGGTGTGAGCTAAGCCATCCACTTGTGTGCACCATATTCAGACCGGGCCAAATTGATAGGTTTAGGTAGACCTAGGTGCATCAGGCGATAAGAGAATTATGCGCAAATAATTTGCTTCATGGCAGCAAATAGGATAAATAATGCGGAAATGTGTGAATTCTTGCCTTCCAAGTGTATTAATTATTATAGCAAATAACTGAACTCTGTGTTGGAAAAATTGATGTTTCCTGGTATGTTTACCAGAAGATTTTGAACTCCAGGATTGTGACTAGGTAAAATGAAATATATTTTGTACTCCATCATGATGCAACAAGAACAGGTTTTGGAAAAGGTCATTTTACCTCTTTGTGTCAGGACAAAATAAAACCAGAAAATGAAATGGCTTGAGACTTGCTGCATCCATCAGGAGCCATGTATTGATATCTGCAAGAGCACAAGTCTTGCACCCACCTGACTAAGATGCCTAATGGCAAGCAGCCTGTGTTGCTACCTAGGTATATGATAAACCATGTTTGTAAATGTGAAAAATAAAGTGTGTGAGTGTTGAATGGAATCACCTTTGAACAGTACTGGGAAATGAGAAATGAGCACAAGAATCACACAGGTCGGTAGATCAGCAAAGCTCTCACTTCCTATGCCCTACTCAGACCAGCCCAAACTTGAACACGACTTAACCTACCCGACAAACCACATTTATTGCCAAGGATGCAACAAACATTCATAGACTGCACACCCATTTGCCTACTGCGGGTGGCCGCCCGCCCACCCGCCACCACTGTGTCATGGCAATGCAAATAAGAGAACGCAATTCAGCGTGGGAAACGTCTCAACTATTCATTGGTTTGCGCCTGTCTCTCAGCTGGGGTTGGAGGATGAACATTGCAGAACTCTCCAATTGGCTTTAGTGATTCGCCTCCTCATGACTGATTTGTCAAGAGCCTAAATATTATGCTGGTGCTCATGCCTTGAACAGATTTGTGAACATTTAGAGGGAAGCTGTATAGAGATGGGCATCAGGATTATGAAGAAGGACTTGTTTGTGCTCATCCAGATCTGCCATGTGGTTCAAATTTTGGCCACTTCCTGGTATCCGGAGTACAGAAATGTTATGGCAGCTGTGGGTTTAAACCAAGTTAAATTTATCACTTGAGGAGGTACAATTAAAGCTGGTAACTTGGGCTTTACAAAAATGCCCTTTTAAGTAAAAAAACATTGTATAAACAGCCAAAAAACTGTTTGGAGACAGCCATCTCACTCGGCAAAAACACCAGGACACCAGAGTAACATTAACCCATAACTATGGCCTGGCAACTTAAGGAGAAGGGCTTAGTAGGACAAAAACATCAATTGATTGCAACATGAATTATCATATTTTGCAATGATATCGGTTAAAGAGCGTCAAAATCCATTAATACCTTGCATTATCCGCCTGAGTCAGCGGAGTAATTTAATCCAATCCCGTTTGGCCGGCCTACACCAGTCTGCCATGCATTGTACTTGTGCTGGCTCGGTAAATCGGTTAAGAGTGCTGCCTGTCCCTATTGTTTGTGTGGGGCGTGCAGGGCCTCGTGTGTTGACCGGGAGTGGGAAGGTGAAGGACATGGATGTTTAGCTGTTTTCAAAACCATTCAGCTGGTGGAGTGTTAGTAGTGTGCCCGTGGTGGAGCGTGAGTAGTGTGATCGTGGTGAAGCATAAGTAGGTGGTCGTCTGTGGCATGTTCATTTGCATTTTTTGTGTGCCATTTTTGTCTGGCTGTGCGTATCATACCCACCCTCCATTTTGGAGAGTGTATAAGCTCAGTATGTAGCCACCCTTCATTTGGGAGTGTATAAGCCTGATGCCTTACTTATTGCGATATTATAATTACCCTCCATTTTGGAGGGTGTACACATGTAGCCTTTCATAAATTGCAAACCAATGTATATGCACATGTGTTTCATAGTACAGAATATGAGACTGTGTTGTCTCAGTTGCCATGTTTAATACTGGTGTTTCCTTTCATTTGACATGCTTTTACATGAATTGCTGTGTGTGAAAAGTGTCACTTTTCTTGAGTGCCACCCACTGTACTATTATCTCTCAAAGATATCCTACATAAAGCTGTAATGACCCACAACATTTGGATAACTTTGTACTCCACTTTTGAAAATATGTGCTCTGCTACCAGGAAAATGTTTGGAATTTCCAACACTGTCTGACCTCTAGAGATGCAACTCTCCAGAGACCACCCACCAGTGCCATTGATGCAATTAGTAAAATTACTGTGCATTAAGAACCATAAGAAATAGTTGCAACATGCACCAAAAGAGATGTATGGGACCAACATGACAATCAGTAAATCAAGCATATGTCTTGAACCAATATTTGTAAGCAACATTTCACCATAAGTCAAGACAGCTGTGAAAAGCGTGATAGTTATGTGACATGTCAAACTGGAATTTTAGACTGGAGGCCAGTATCTGAAATTTGGCTTTGGCTCTTGAGGGAGAGAACAAAAATTGTGAAATTATGGCTTGTGAGCACAAAATAACCCAGGTGAATTTGCACCACATTTACAGCTGGCACCAAAGCACATTCTTTGGCGGCAGATGACAGCAAATACCATGCTCTAGCTGGTCTCAGCAATTGTCAAAGACCATTAGAGATTGACTGCTTGCAATTTTTAAATTTTCCAGCTTCGTAAATAAGTGCTTCCTCCTTCCTGAGTGTATGCTCACACCTACTGTTTTTTAAGCTTGGGAGCTGATAGAATGTTGTTGATATTGATAATTCTATTGCAAAGATGTCTGTCCCAATTAAGGCCAATAGAAGTTGATGCGTAAGATGTTGTGCACATGTTGCACCATTCCCCTGGGCACATTATGAAAAGTTTATGATTGAAATGTCGTGCAAACCACAATATAAGTAGGAGCATCTGGGGCATGGTAGTTAGTGCTGCTGTGTTTTAGCCAAGGTACAATCCTTCTCACTGAAGGGAAAGATTCTGGGGCATTGTGATGCCCACCTAGGCTTTTACTGCTCTAAATATACCTAATTTTAGACAAGGTGTGTAGTTTCCTATTTAGTGGGATATGATGCTAGCCCCTCCCCAACTATGAGAAAAACTTTGCCAAAATCAGAGAGAACATGGTTTGCACCATCTATTTGGGATATCATATTTCTCTGCTGACCCACTCCACAAAGTTACGTACAAAACTACACCACCTGGGATGTGAGGCTGCCGCATGATTGCAGCTGGAGGGCAAAGCGGCAGAGGCAACAAATCATTTTCAATTCATTTTCTCCTCACAGAGCAATCCAGCCGTGCAAAGTTAGCATTGCTACATCTACTCACTGGCATTGAGTCTGATAGAATGCTTTTCACAGTGCATGACACTGAGCTAAAGTTAGATTTTGCCTTTATCTACACTACCAACCAGTCACGCTATCACTCTCCCATGTGTGGCAACGACAGAGCCTCTGTGAGTTATTTATGGGTATTGATGTTGCTTTTTAGGACCTTAATGGTTTTGTAAAAAAAATATCCAGGGGCAAAACCCATCTAAAATAAAAGGTATACCTTAAAAAAACATAAACGCGAGGCTCGAAGCTGTGCTCAGTGGAGGACAAGAAACCCTGCTTTAGCTTTATACTCAGGTCATGATTCCGTGGCGATGCTCTGTAGATCGATTGACAAAATTCCACGCTTTCGTCCAATCCCCTTTTTAAAAATTTTCATCACGTATTCAGCTCGGATTTCTTGGTGGGGAATATGCCTTCTCTCCAATGCTAAATCCTCCCCAAGAGCCGGAGACTGAGCCGGGAGACTGAGCCGTGATTTTCCGTGTGCCAAAGCGAGTGTTTGGGGTGATGTTTGACGTCACCATGTTACCTTCTATACAATGTCCGTTTTTGGTAGTTTCAAGTGCAGCTTAAAGAAGAATGTAATTTAAAAAGACTTGAAAATAATCTATTCATCAATATATGATTAATTCGCGCTATGTTTAGAGGTAAATGTTAATGTGACGTCATATACTTTCGTACCAATTTGTATTGTGTTACAATGATTTCCACGTGCAATCCAGAAACGTTGAATCGTGACGTATGCGAGATGTTCTCTGCACCTATCCATGGCCCATCAAGAGACGCTGTCGTTTTGAAAGCGGGCTCGGGCGCGGCGTCTGAGCGCGTCGGTGTTGTTGGAGGGAAGGTGGGTTAACCGTGTGCTGGTGAGCAGCAACGGATCTGGACACTGAGTGCATTGCGAAGAAAGATTGTATGGGATATGGTAGAGAGATTCGGCTGCAGCCCGAGAGCATTATCCCTTGGTTAGTCGTGAATGTGGCGCGCGATGCCGTCGAAGTTTCAGGAACAGCTTGCCTTCAGCTGATGTTGCTCACAGAGAACGATTTCTTGCATTCTTTCCAGTGTATATTTGTGGGAAGCAAAATGTGTTGGGGCTAAAAAAAGCAATAAACACCCAAGTTTTGGACACTGCCAGATGCCCAAATAGCCTGCCATTCTTCTATGAAAACTGCATTGTTGAAAAGTAGAAAAGAGGGCAAGAATCTAACCCTGTCTAACCTAACCCAGGCTAACCTACCCTCCTTACCAACCCTAACATAATGTGACCTGGCCTGATCTATGTTTATCTTGCCTCTCAAGTCATTTCCTAGTGATAAGTTGTTTAGCAAGGATATGATCATTCTCCTTACCAGTGAGTTTCATTAGTTAGTTCTCATGACTTGTGCCTCCTTGATGAGTCTTATCTTTCTGATACTTATAGATTTTAGCTCAAGTTTACTTTGATTCAGATTTCCTCATATTGAGGAGTCCCCCATTGTGTGCATATTCAGTCACAGAGTGGGCTTCATATCTGTGGAAAATGGCAGATTATGGAATAGCATTGTGCCTTTGAAATTTGATTGCTGGCATGCTCTGTGGTTACATTATGTTCACAGGATGCATTTAGAAAATTTGTGTTGTTTTCCTAAAAGGATTATGCCAACTTTTGAGACCTTTCATTCGTTGTTCAATCAGACGCATGCCATTTGATTGGTGATATAAGTTTTCTTGAAGTCCATCTGAATAACTTGTAATTTTTGTAACTTATAGTTTTGTTTTGATGTAGTTGCTCCAGCAGGGAAAACTTTAATAGACTTCCTGCTCACCACTGTGAAAGTAATGATTTTCATTTCTCTTACTTTTCCCCACCTGTGTGTTCTGTCATGCTTGCAGTGCACAAATTCATCAACAGCATGTGTGTGATGAGTGCTTCAAAACCCCGAATACTCTTTTGAGAACAATACATACAAATATTTGAAAATATTATGAGAATTCAGTGAAATATGCTATGGCTTTAATTTCTCTCCCATGACATTTAGCACAGTATTTCTTTGAAGCACACTTCAGCTTCAGGAAACCAGAGTATCCCATGGTCTTAAGTAACACGCTTTGAAACTGCAACCAGTTTGCTTCTTGGTGCCTGTCCTTTGCCACCCACTGTGCCAAGATTGGGAATATTGTATGGGAAACAGAGTTGTTAGTCCTAGATATTACATATGAGTCCTAGTTATTACTACTGAGTCCTAGTTTCTCTCCGATTTCAATGCTACACTTTTGGCAATGGAGGTATACTCCTTCCTATGTGGTGAAACTTTAGCTCCAGTGATATCATCATTGCAAATTTGTCCACAGAGTAACAGTCCTTGACAAACCTGGTGCAAAACTGCTTTACTGGTAAGAAATATTGCAGACTAATAAACATGTACTGGCTGATTTTGGCTGAAGGAAACAACCCTAAACCATGCCCATGTCACTCAGTCTGTCACAGTTACTCGGGCTGTAGCTACTTGTGCTGCATACCAATACCTTGATGCCTCAGCCCAGTGTATTTGACCATCTTTGAAGTAGCTTGCATTTGGCTGACCATAACTGTGTTGATAGAGAATTTTAGCAGAAATAGGTACACAGATATTACCAGCTGGTGTAAAAGGCTGTGAGTTGTTTTTTAGGTCATGATAATTGGTGGATTACGTCAAATGTCTGAGCTATTCAAGACAGCTGCTACCACCCAGCGATGGTAATGGTGTCCATAGCAATAGGGAAGCTTTATATGGTTCAGATAGTCATAAATCATTCACTAATATTTTGTGTTGTGTGGTGCTGGTACACACTTGTATGGGAGAACAGGCTGTTTATGTCTGTTGCTCAATCATTGATTTTAGCTGTGTGGATGGGGGTCTTTTCACCCACACATTCAGCCCACTCCAAAACCGAAATGGTCATCATTCAGCAGGTTTGTTTAAAATAAAACAAGTTTTTATTACTTATCACACACGTCTGATTTCTAAGGTCTTATAGCATAGGCCGACCTACTGATCCAGCTGTAAATTTGTGCATGCATGTAGATTCCTGTAATATTTTGCTGAACTATTTCCAGTGCACTTCTGTAGGTTAAGGAAGCCAACAGAAAGCTGTATCATCTGCAGAAAGGGACCTTTGCTAATGTAACCAGGGTGTCAGTTTTATGGGGGAGCATTTAGTGTTTTCAACAGGTTTGCTTATCATTTAGACATGTTGCCTTTGGTGTAAGACATGACAACCTGGTAGGAAGGCATTGCTTTTGCAAGGTGGCCCTGAACCCATTCTGTTCAAGGCCATCAGGAAGATCGGCCATGACTGAACCCATTGCTGCTGTATGGTGTTCCAGGTTTGTGAGGTAATGTTTGCACTGTCTTACCCTTACCTTGACCTTTACAGCTCCTGACGGGAATCACTGAAGTCAAAGTCAAAGTTCATCAGCCAGTGGACGTCTACAAACATGGCAGAAGATCTCGTAGAAAACCTGAACACGTATAATGAGCAGCTGAAGCAGGTAATCTAATGGGGCTTGGGGTCTTTTTGGGCATGAGGGACCCTAGCACTATAGCATGCACCTAAGGTGCATAAATGCAGGTTGCAGGAGCTTTGTTGGTCAAATGGAACTTAACAATTCATTTGACCTGGCATTAGATCATCTTTCAAGGGGAGAGCTGTGTTTTTCTGCAAATATTACTGCCTTATTCAGGCTGTGTTTTTAAAGTAATCACACATCCAAAGCTTCAATCCTTCACATACTGCATAAAAACCTTGATGTGCTGGTGTAAAGAGATCACACCTTCAACACCTGAAACCTGTCTTTAAGGCATCCAGCTGTAGCTGTGCCAGTCACTGATTGCTGGTCATATTTCAGGTGGAAGCTGCGCTCACTAATGATCCGACAGATGCGGAGCTGCTGAAGCTGAAGAAAGACCTCGTCGAGGTGATCGAGCTCACCAATGACCTGATCCGGGCCCAAGCACCAGCAGCTACCTCACAAGGTAATTGTACCCGAGGATTGTCTTTGGTCGTTTATTTCGCAGCTATGATCGCAGAGGCAGGTGTAGAAGGCCCCGCTGAGTTGTCACAGCCTGATGCTTCCCCAGCGGCCTGTGCATTATAGGTGGCGCTGGCGTCGGCGTCCGCGGCGGCTCCTGACGGGAGGCCTGTCGTTGCAGACTCAGCGGAGCAGCAGGAGCCCATCCGTAACTGGGAGGTCGGCGACCGCTGCTCGGCCGTCTGGGCCGAGGACGGCCTGTGAGTACCGCGCTGTCGCCCCCGGCGCCGCCGCTTGGCGGCCGCCCGCACCACTCATCCGTAGTACACTTGCGCGCCAGCTTAATGCTTTGATTGCAGCTGGTGAAGGTGTAGGTGGCAGGGGCCAGACGGAGACCGAAAAAACGCCAGTCGAGCCATGTGCTCGATGATAAGGTCGTAGTTTGGAGCATAGAGGTTGCTGAATGGGGTAGAGGTTTTCAGCCATTTGTAGCTGACCACTGGGGGAAAAACGGCATTATCTGACGTTCTTTCCATGGATTCCCAGAACTATGTTATTACTTCGATTCCAGTGCTGGAAAACAGCTTCTGCGAAAGGTATCTATCGTGTGCGGTGAGAAGAGAAACTAAACGGAGGTCTGTAGACAGGTGTCTTAATAGGTAGCCATCGGGTTAGTTTTTAGTTAGTTTTTAAGAATGCATCAAATGAAAGTTACTTGGGCCCATGCTGTCTTGATTTAAATCAAATAAAAACTGCTGACTTTTGTATTGCGTCATTGCATTACCTCATCTGTCGTACAAGCAACGAGTTGCCCACTACTAGTGGCAAACAGGGAGCAAGTAACTGGTAGTTTATCGGAGTGCAACGGATGGCGCTTTTAACGGTTTCATATTTCGAAGCTCGCATACGCCTCACTTCTCTATACATGCGTCTTTACTTGTCACCTCCGAGTGCGTCACGCCCAGGCCGCGCGTTGACCGTGCGTGTTTGTCATTCCATGCACCTCGCGAGCCCCACCTGGCACGGCGCGTGCCAGAAGCGTGTCTGAACGCGCTGCCGACGCCGGCAGGTTCTACAACGCCATGGTGGACGAGATCACGTCGGACGGCCAGGTGATGGTGCATTTCGTCGGCTTCAAGTCGGCAGAGGTGACGCGCCTGAGCCAGCTGCGCGAGCCGCTGGCCGAGGACGCCGCCGACGAGGACGGCGCCGACGCCGCCGCCAAGTTCGGGTACGGCCGGGCTGGGCGCTGGACCGACCGCGCCCGTCTGTGCTCCAGCAGATAACGCTGGGCACCGCACAGGCCGCGTCAGTGTTGTTTTGTTGGGTGCCCGGCGCCGCGCGCAGTACAGAGCAGCACACCGCTGCCAAACGCGTGGAATTGCTCGCGTTGTCTTCGCGTGTTGATAAACAGCGCGTGAGGTTTGTTTTTCAGTTTGAAGGGATGCGTAAAGATGTTTGTGAAGTGCGACGTCTTTGTGAAGTGCAAAGGTCGTGGCGATTGTGGTGGTATGGTATCGGCGCGAGGTCATTCTGCGCCCACGAAAGGCGAGAGGCCGTGTGTGTGTCCGTCGCCGTTTTTGTTGATGCTCGGAAATCGGCCGTGACTCATCTCATTTATTTCTTTTCAGGCGGAAGGGCAAAAACCAGCAGGAGTATTTGAAGCGCAAAAAGCAGAAGAAGGTCCAGCGGTTCAAGGAGATGGAGGAAGTTCGTGAACAGGAGAAGTCGAAATGGCAACAGTTCAACAACAAAGTAAGTACACTGTATGGTCAGAAAGTATTATCCTTTGCATAGGCGTGCCGATACACTTTGTAAGGAAGTGTCCCACGTGTATTGGGTTTAGAACTGAAGAAGCTATCTTGAGGATTATTTAGTGCAGTTCACAGCCCGTCCCTGCTTAATACCTAAACCACCAATTTCTGGGCTATACCTCGCGAAGACGTGCAGACTTTCGAGGAGACTATTTCAAGGTCCGTGAGCACGGTTTCCAGACATAGCGGCCGTCATTTGGCTCTCAATGAATGCTGATCAAGGTGCGATGACGTAAGCAAACAACGACGTATGGAGCAACATATTTACGAAACAGAGAAATCGTGTTGTCTATAGCTGTCTTTTTCTCTTAAAAGTAAACCAACAGTTTTACGTTAGGTTATTTCATCGTATCTTATGCTTGCTTCAGTATCTTGAGATGTGGAGCATGACCTTTAAATTGCAGTTCATCAATGTCTGTCTTGCACACATCATTCCCACTTGATTGTTTGAAAGCGATTTGCCCGAGAACTCGGTGGATTACCGCAGCTGGAGTCTGCAAACGAGCATGGCAAAATACTCAACATACGTACCTGTGTATGTAACGTCATAATATAACGTAACATTTCTGTAAATCTTTATTTGCGGAGGCTTCATGAATTTGGTCATGCGCCCATATATGTCACACACCACAATGCAGTGGAACAGATGTTCAGTTCCCGGGAGCCCAGGCTTATCTCGCTCTCTCGCCCCAGGTGAAGAAGCGGAAAAATGTCAAGGGCTACACCAAGTCGTCCATCTTCAAGACGCCGGAGGCTGTGAACGGCAAGGTTGGCGTCGGCACGTGCGGCATCGGCGGCAAGCCCATGACGTCGTACACCACAGCCGACAAGTGGAAGCGGGGCGTGTAGCGCGCGGCGGACGTGACCGGACGTGTGCGGCCGCGGCCGGCGGAGGTGCCGCCTGAGCCGGCTGACCAGACGAGGCGCCGTGTCGTGCCGACGGCGCGCGCTGGCAGGACGCGGTCAGTACGTTGCCCCGCGGTCGCTCGCTCGCCCCGCCCGGCAGTAACGCACGAGGACTGGCTGGCGTCGTCGGCGGTGGCACGCGCCGCGGACAGGACTCCTGGGAGGGAGCGGCCGCGCCTGTCTCTCCACGACGGCCTGGGTCGTCCGAGGCGGCGTCTGGAAGATGCTGTTTAGGATTGAGGTGCTGCGGCTCGTCGGCATGGTCAGCCGGTGGCGGCGTCGGGGAGCGCTCCTGAGGAGCGGGACGCGGGCGGCTCCAGCGCCGGCCTGGAGTCGCCTGCGGAGGCTTCTGGAGAGGACTCCCAAGGGGAACGGTCCGCCGCAGTCGCGCCCGCCCCGGCGCGGAGGCGACCCCCAACGGTGCATGCACCGCGGCTGTACTGCACGGCAGAGGTGCAGCGAGCAGCGTGAGAAAGATGAAACGTGACAGTGTGCAGTGAACAGTGTCAGAGACTCGCAGTGAAGCAGTGTGAAAGCGTTGCAGTGGAGGATTATCGTGTTGTATATGCTTCGCGAGATGGACCCACTTGTTCGTGTCTCGCTCGTCTCTCTCGGGCGCTATCACCACCGTGTTTGCCATTTTGTGCTAGCTGATATATCAGCTGACGTCTTATGTTTCAGTTCGATGGAACATCGTTCAAATCATGACTTAGAGGCACGCTCCATATGAATGTACCACGAATGTGTAGAACGTTCAATACATCGGGAGATAGCTCTGATCAATGTCTCGTTACTGGTTAATGCAAAACCCCGTTACCATTGCCACAACAGAACGACATGTATTCACATGCATCGATTAACGACATGCAACGATCGGAGGGATGAGGACTGGCACGCTGACATCCGGCCACATATTCCTCAGCGGTATGGGTCAGGGGACGAAACGCGTTTTGCCTGTCTAGGTTACACCTACGCCTGGCTGTCCGAAATCTGCCAGGAGCTGTCTGGAAGTCAGCTATGGGGGCAGTTTTATGGCGAGGAAGCAGCACCCTCATGAATGTTTCTGAAATTATCTGTCACACGGCTGTGCGTTTTTGATGACGTCGCTGCAAAACTAAAGTCGTTTCCGAAATAACCCGACTAGACTCACATCGCGCGCGTGTAAGAGACATTGAGAACGTTGATCACACGGAGACATGATCCAGTAGTGAGACTAAATCGCAGACGACGGTGTTGAGAGTCCACGTAGATGAAATAGGAGAAATCGAGCCGTTTGTTTGAGGAACGCTTGATCGTCTTGGATACCATTACAGAACGCGGAAATTCAGATCATGGACGTACAGGCGACAGACTACACTCAGTGACACTCATCACGTCACCACAAGGAATGCCGACTATTGCCATCACATCATCAGTTCTTGCGGTGGTCTGGTCCTTCCGCCTGGTCGCCCAGTGTCGGTCACCGGCCCTTTATTTGGGCATCGGTGTGGTGCGCAGGTACTCCTTGCCCGAAGGCACCGAATGCACGTGCACGCCGGCTGGAAACGCCTGGTTGGCCTCGGTCGCGCTTAGGAACGGCACCACGAAACACTTCTCTCCCACCTGGAACGGGACCAGTGACCGCGCTCAACCCCGGGCAGCAATTGCGTTCGCCTCCGCGGCGCAAGGATCCCAGTTCTGCAATCATACACGCTCGTATGCAACAAGCACCTCGCGGAATTGCGTACATGTTCAGAAGCCAGTGCCAAGCCTCTCGTCACGCGTCTCGCCTTTGTGTCGGGAGATGTCTGCGTGGATGTGCGCGCGCCGCTCGGTCCGGAGTGCGACGCGGAGACACACTGGACACTCACCACGCGGAGACCCGCTGGACGGCCCCGCGGGCACGCCCGGGGGCGCGCTGCGGCTGCGCTGGAGCGCGCGGCGACGGCACTGGCCTGCGATACCGTGTCCTCGTCTACGCAGGGCAAAACACCGTGTTTGGCTGGGCTCCGACTGCCGTCGAGGTGCGATTAAAGCTCATTCTGTGATCCAGTCATGCGTGACGAATGTATGCGGAAAGGTCTCACAGATGAGTGCGGAGCTCGACGGGCGACACATATCATCTCGAGATAGGTCGATGTGCTTCACCCATTCACAACTCGTCTAAAGATTTTCCCTGCGGAAACATGGCGTCCACTGCGCCGCGGACCGTCCTTCCGCCTACCACTCACCTGCCACTGTTCCGGGGTGACCACCTTGTGTTTTGCAGTCACCAGTAGAGATTCCATCACTCGCTGGATCTCGCTGAAAATACAGGCTGCGTAAAACCTCGCACGTCGCAATTGCTTTCTGCGGACATTGGTGCTAGCCTGGCCGAAATTGAAATAGCTCCCGGCTCATAATCCCTCGCGACGTGGTTTAACTGAACCGATTTGCTCACCCTCAGTGATGGATAAATGGGTCGCTTGACATAAAATAGCTGCCACACTTATAGAGTCGCGTAAACCTCTTGGCCATTGCCCACGCCGACAAGTCCCCGCAGAGCGATGCATTTATTATCTTAGCCTTTTCCATGCCATCCAGCGACGACCGAACTAACACTGCACCACACACCATGACACGGCTGTTTGAACAGAGAGCATCGAGTGCATCGCAGGCCAGATGGTCACGTGTCAGGGCATCAACAGGTGCCTGCGGAAGCTGGCTCCTGGACGCGTATCGTGCTCTTTGGAAATCGCCGCACCGGTCATGAGATGCGTGCTTCCTTCACATGAATGTGATATCTGGCATGCAATTAAAACTTGCGCCGGATAAGCAGCATAACAATTTCCAACTGCATGCCTTGGATAGCATGTCTATGGAAGGGAGACAACGCGACAACAACGCGACAGTCTTCATTCGCGGTGCCAAACTACACCAAGCGCCGAGGGAGGTCCGTTCTTAATGAACAGGCGTCCGCGGGCAGATCCAATCATCCGCCGGCGCGCACCGAGTGTGCGCGCGCGGCGACGGACCTGCCGGCCCTCATCGCCTCGCGCCGCCGGTACCCCGCTGCGCAGCGAGGCCGACAGAGCCAGGCGTGTCAACAGGGCGCTCGCTCTCCGTGGCGCCACGCGGCGCGGCGTCCACAGACCGCGACGCGGGACGCCGGCGACGGCGTGCCGCGCACGCCACTCACGCGAAGTTGCGCCCGGTGGTGCCCGGGTAGAGCATGGAGAGCCGGAGGCGCAGGTCGGGGCCGATGATGAACACGGCCCGCGCCGTGGCCGGCTTGTTGTCGAAGCGCGGCTCGTTCGGGTCTATCATGCTGAACTTCTTGGCCAGCTGGCGCGTCTCGTCCGAGATGATGGGGAACGGGAACGCGTTCGAGCCCAGCCCGTTGTACGCCTTGATGTCCTCAATCCAGGCTCTGTAGCACGCAGTGGTGCGGCGTTGGGAGAGAGTGATCCCGTGACGTTTTGGAGTCACGTGCAGCGAAATTCAAGCGCTTTCCATTTGTAACGAGTTGCTGGTATCTTTGCTAGTTCACGCACGTGATCTCCGCATATTGCTTCAATAATGACTGTCACTTGCTCACCACACGACGAATATGCATGTACTAATATTTGATCGCGTGGCATTTATCACCGTGGCGAAACCATTTCCTTCGAAAGCCACTGGGTAAGTTTTTTCAACTGCCATCGCGGAATTGCACACGTTTCTGGTCGTCACGAACATAGACATACCCAATAATGCAAACAAACAGCTTCGCACACGCGCTATTACAAAGAGCACGTGTCCCTGTGATCCGAGAAGGCGTACACCAGCCGCGCGCGACCTCACTTATGTGACTCGACCGGGTCGCAGGAGATGCAGGCCATTTTGACGCCGCGGCGCAGCAGCGCGGGCGCCAGTTTGGCCGCTGCGCCCATCTCGGTGGTGCAGACGGGCGTGAAGTCGGACGGGTGCGCCATCAGGATGCACCAGCTGCGGACAGAGCCGCTGTCACGGACGCTGCAGCCGGGGATCGAGGCGCCGGACGGTCAGCCGGGGGGCGGCCACCCGGCACCGTTCTGAACACGACTCGGCGCTGCTTAGAGAAGCAGGTGGTCGTGTACCTCAGCAGTCAAAGAAGGGTACGCTGGCCCGGCCGTCGTCAAAACTCGTGAAGGGACGATTCTGTTGCCTATACTTCTGATTAATAAAACAGACGCGTATCATGGAAGAAAAGAAATCATGTGCTCTGGGTGATTTCGATTTTGTCAGCTATGCTTTACTTCTGTAAACATCCGTGCATCCCAGTATGACGTATCTGATATGCCTATACTGTTTCACTTTTGCACGAGCTTTTGAACTGACATAACGAGATTGTAGAACATGTGGACATCTTTGCAACCACAGGCGTATTAAAACCTTTTTAAAGAGTTATGGTTGCTAAGCTCGAAAGAATTTAGTATCGCTATTTGTGTGTAGTTCAAGATGGAACATTCCTTCAGACGATGCGGTTTTGACTTGCAGTTATTATGCGCGTTTGTGCAAGATGTTTTGTTCGCAAAGCAGGCCGTTAAAAGACTATTGGCGTGAATTACACATAAAAGACATGCCATCCTGCCGGCATCGTTCATTTTCTATCACGCATACCTGTATCACCATACAGCTTCGCCCGGTGCATGAATGAATGTTTGTGTGGCATTCCACTGGGAATACCACATCTGCCTTGATACGGAATCCTCGCGCTCGATATCACAGACATTTCACGTTCGGTTCAGTCAGCAGTGCACACACATACGCATTCACTATTTAATCACTCCGTAGCACCATTCTGTGGCCGTGGACATGTGACATTTGCGGTTGCATCCAGTAACCCACAACTCAATAGGATGCTTCTTTTAACCCCATGCTCATAACATGAGGGAAATTACGCGAAAAACTATACAGATTATTATGTGATACTTGACCCTCACATGTTTTATTTTTACAATAATCAGAAGACCTTTACATAAGTCGAGAACGTGAGAGCAGGCTGGTTCGCTTTTCAGCAGCTAGGTGCTCATGGCACGGACACGCGGCCACCTTCCACATATCCCGACCGGGAGGTGGCCGCATATTCGCGCCGTTAGTACATGGTCAAAAACAAACCAGCCCGCTCTCACGCTCGCCAGTCATGGAGTGACGCTCACAAAACATGTCCACAGAGCTCTTGGCATGTTTCCCCTTTATCATAAACATGAGGTTATAAGCAGTTGCCTAATGTTTGTGATGGTGGCTGGCAATCCGCTTTATCGCGTATATGAATGCAGGAACTCACTACTCTCATGGACTAGTTGATAGTGAACAACTCGTACAAAAACACCGTGTTATGATGACAGTCAGGGAGGCTGAGATGCTGCAGTGCACTCACGAGCCTCCGACCCAGTCGTGGAACTTCAGGCGCCCCTCGGTCGAGTCGGCCTCGAAGTTGGGAAACACCTCGCCCAGGACCACCATGCTGCTGTCTGCAAACGCACATCACGCGCCAATGGCCTGAACAACATTTTCAGTCAGCGATGCTACATGACAACTGTGGCACTGTCGTGGCCGTGGGTCCGCGGTATTGTATGTCTGTTGTATGTATAATGCATTGCTGTATGTGCTACCATACGTTCCACACCGCCTGGATATACGCATGCATGGTGTAATGCGAGTACAATTAGTGGTACAAATGCGCAGAACATTGTGACACGGATTCTTGATCATTTTTCATTAGCATATTGAACAGGAGCTTTCTCTTTATGCTGGCCTCATGGAACCGAGTAATTATGGGAGGTTTGTATAAAACCTAGTGGTGCTTTCAGCATGTAGAGCCTCATTTCATAGCGCCACGGTGCAAATGAACCTCAAAACTATCAGTCTTCAGGTGTTCGAAATTATTGCATTTAAAAGCTGCTTCTTAAAATAGTGACTTCCACATATTCTGGGAAAACGAAAAGCAGAAAACACTTTGTATTATGCACAATGACTTCAAAAACAATTAACTCAACACTTTTTTTAGGTTGTGGCAAATTCGCTGCTCCAGGATGTCGATCATGCTCATCCGCTTATGACGATTCTGTGGCTTGAGAAAGAAAGTGGTCACGTGGTATCGTGCCAGTATTGCATAGACATATATGTTGCTGGGTGCCATCTTCTGTGAAACATCAAATTGCGATATGTTTTGACAATTTCGATGCTAGAGCAAAATTACAATTCACATTCTGAAAGCTATATTTGTCGGGTCATGGTTTTTTGACCTCCTTGGTATGCGAAGAGCTCCAAACTTCAGCCCGAATTATTAATAAAATAGATTATCAGATCAGATGCATGACAAAAATTGAGTCGGCTAAAATATCGTTGGATGAGTCCTTTCCAGGCGCGTAGCCAGAGCTTTGGCAACGGGTGTGCATGGTTGAAAAAGGTCCCTGATAGTGAATGGCAATCTCCCCCCCCCCCAAAAAAAAGAGAAATCACTGGATATGGTCAATTTGTTAATAATGACATGTTTGTCTTAAATGCTTTAAATTTTCGTGTTCTTTAACTGGAATAGTCAGAAGCTACCACCAGATAAAGTTTGCCTGAACTGCATGCTCAAGAAACTGAAGAAATAATGCGTTAAATGACTGCATGAAATAAATGGCCGGTGCCATCCATTTTACAATGATCCAGCCCTTCCCTGGCGCGGGAGGCCTTCTGACCCGCACAGCTCGCCCTGGATTGACGCAGCAACGCTCATTGACGCAATAACATCTTTGATCGCCGCAGGTGGTCCAAAAATGGGTACAAAAGCTTGCGTTTGGCTTAACGGGCCCATATTGAACTTGGGTTGGAGGGCCAATCGTGCGGTATTGGGAGCCCTGACTGGCACAGGATCATTCCATTGCCTCAATGTGAACACTCATCAGAAGTTCGCATGTTTCTTTTCATTACCGGAGGAGCCTGACCAACGCATGAGGCCCTCTGTCATTTGGGGTCTCGTCCCCGTCCCTGTTAAGCGGATGTTCCCCCGACCGCCTTGGGGCCACTTGCCGCCACAGAACCCCTGTTAGGCACTGCGGCTCCTGACCGACAAAGGAGCCCCTCATTGTATCAGGGATCCCGAACTTTGTAAACCGCGGGCCCGGCTTTGTTCCTGCTGGGGAAATGTGTCCTAAGTGCTCAGACGGACATGGAGCCGACTGTTGGATCCTGTGCCGAGCCCCTGTATAATAAAGATAGAGAACCTTCATGAGAGGAACCTAACAGAAACCCTATGACTGACGTTTCAGGTCACGACACGACGAATGGAGGCCCGGCCTCGAGATCAATCGGGTTCTTGATCTTTGGTCCAGGGGGTCATTCGAGCCCCGTTTCGGACCCCTCCAAACACGGTTCATGGTCACCCGGGCCACTTACCTACACGGGGTCCCCTGTTAAGCACTGTAGGCCCCTGACCGACACCCTCATGATTTCAGCGACCCCGACTTATATACGTCGTGGGCTCGGCCTTGCTCGTGCTTGGGAAATGGGCCTCCAGGGCTCAGACCGATGCATAGCCGACTGTTCGGTGTCGGTGGTCTCTGGCCGAAATATAGGTCCGCGCTGTCCCAGGGGTTCCCAATCGATGCGAGAGGCACTCTCACCGACTTTTGAGGTAACGGCATTACGAGCGGGAGGGTGTCCTTCATATGAATTACGGCCAGTCGTTCGAACTCATGGACTCCAATCAAGAAGACTAGGGGCCTTCTAATCAGGCCCTTGATCTTTGGTCGCTAGGGCCATTCGGCGTCTCTTCGGACCTCCTCAAAGAAAGCCCGTGACCGCCTCGGGGCCACTAGCCGACACATGACTCCCTGTTAGGCACTGTGGGTCCCTGACTGACATAGCAGCTCCAGCCAGGGTTTCAGGGACACTGACCAATGCAAATCGTGGCACCCGGTCTTGCTCCTGTTTGGAAAATGGACCCCAAAGTTTAAACTGGCGGGGTGCCAACTGCTCGATGTTCGTGATCTCTGTCCAACTGTTTCAATTGGCGGATTTCTGGGATCAGAGCTCACGCTAGGCAATGTTTATTGTGTGACCCCCCGACCCCTGCCACCGATCACGCAATTCCAGGGCAAAGGCAGAATTTGGTGGCAAATGCTTAACGCGCCGCAATGCTCATCACGGTCCGTCCTGTCCTCTGACGTCACCTAGCCTTAAGCGCAGCCGCTACCACCGGCCGCAAGTCATACCAGTCAAGAGCAAATAGCGAACGCTTAAAGAGACTCGAACCCACCCTTCCCCGGGTGGGTGGATCCTTAGGCAGGCGCGCTACCCAACTGAGCCAATGCGATGAACCCAGATTGCGTCTGGTCTCAGGAGTCCTCAAACAGTACCAGGGGACCTCTGAATGATATTTCGAGCTACAACTTTCGACAGCTACGACTTACGACTTACGGCTACGACTTACGGACTGTGATTCTTTATGTCACCTATAGTCGGTCCGTCGGGCCCTTATGTCATCCAACCGAGCTCATGATCGCCAGTTTCGGTAGGCCGGCCGGTGGGCCGCCTCTTCGGGCCACATTTGACACTGTCTCTGGACGACTCGGGGCCCCTTGCCAACATAGGGCCCTCTGTTAGGCACGATGGGGCCCTGACAGACGCTGGGAGCCCGACCAATGTAAATAGCTGGTTCCTGGTTTGTCCCTGCTTGCGGAATGAGCTCTTACTTGGACCCACGCCGGCACGGAGCCGACCGTGCGTTCTTGGTGGTGCCTTTGACCGACATATGCGGCCCTTATCCCCTGAGGGGCCCTGATCAGCGCACAGGGCCCCCTTGCTGGCATTAGAATGTCCGGCTCTACGGGCCGGGCCCCCGAACACGACCTCGATCGGCCTTTGGGGCCGGTCAGGGTCGTACCCTCCCTTTGGACTGTTAAATCGGGCCAATAATCGTAGATTTCGAGGAGCCCGAAGGGCTCCTCGGAACCTGAGGGGAGAAGCACGGGCCCCTTGGGCCATCCTACCTGCGTTGCTGGTCGTTTCATCTGTATTCTAATCACGGAATTATTGATCGGTGATAAGTAAATAGTCATCTTTGAGCCAATGACACACCTCGCTAATTCCACTGCGTGCACAGAACGAGCTCTGCTGCACCAGGTGTCAGAATCTACTGGACGTTAACAGTTACGCATACTCACGTTTAGCGGGTGTGGAACCTATTGGTGGAGACTTGGAGAGCCGCTTCGGCTCCCGGATGACCTGCGCAATGTTCTACTTCGCGGTCTCTCGCAGACGACACCTTTATAAGCGGCCTGTTCGCGGCGCGCCGGCGCACGGGTGAGGGCCCGTGGCGTCACGCGCCGGACATCCGGAACGTTACAGTCCGGACGCCAGCCCGAGCTGAAGGTGGCCGAATCACCATATCGCTGGTAAATGGTCAAAAGTTGGAGAGCCCGCTTTCTATCGCATTGATGGTGTCATGAACCTCGGCTGCCTCCTCGTTAATACACGAGTGATAGGCCTAATATTTGCGATGCACAGGTCGGCAATTGTGGTTTCGATGTGAGCAATTAACGACTATCTTCTTATCATAGATGGGAGAGAGAGAGAGAGAGAGAGAGAGAGAGAGAGAGAGAGAGAGAGAGAGAGAGAGAGATAGAGAGAGAGAGAGAGGAGAGAGAGAGAGAGAGAGAGAGAGGAGAGAGAGAGAGAGAGAGAGAGAGAGAGAGAGAGAGAGAGAGAGAGAGAAGAGAGAGAGAGAGAGAGAGAGAGAGAGAGAGAGAGAGAGAGAGAGAGAGAGAGAGAGAGAGAGAGAGAGAGAGAGAGAGAGAGAGAGAGAGAGAGAGAGAGAGAGAGAGAGAGAGAGAGAAGAGAGAGAGAGTAGAGAGAGAGAGAGAGAGAGAGAGAGAGAGAGAGAGAGAGAGAGAGAGAGGATAGAGAGAGAGAGAGAGAGAGAGAGAGAGAGAGAGAGAGAGAGAGAGAGAGAGAGAGAGAGAGAGAGAGAGAGAGAGCAGAGAGAGAGAGAGAGAGGAGAGAGAGAGAGAGAGAGAGAGAGAGAGAGAGAGAGAGAGAGAGAGAGAGAGAGAGAGAGAGGAGAGAGAGAGAGAGGAGAGAGAGAGAGGAGAGAGAGAGAGGAGAGAGGAGAGGAGAAGAGGAGAGAGAGAGAGAGAGAAGAGAGAGAGAGAGAGAATAAGAGAAGAGAGAGAGGAGAGAGAGAGGAGAGAAGAGAGAGAGGAGAGAGAGAAGAGAGGAGAGAGAGAGAGGAGGAGAGAGCGAGAGAGAGAGAGAGAGAGAGAGAGAGAGAGAGAGAGAGAGAGAAGAGAGAGAGAGAGAGAGAGAGAGAGAGAGAGAGAGAGAGAGAGAGAGAGAGAGAGAGAGAGAGACTATTTCAGATTGTTGGTCAAGTGAGATGCCTTTGGTCGTCACCAGCCGGCTTCTTTACTCACACAAATTTTCGGGTCATGGAAAGGCAGAAAAGAACTGAAGTCGATTTGGGAACTACGGCAGCAACGTTCACGGCGCAGCTGTTTCATTTGATGGTGAAAAAGCTGCGACAGTCATTTGCATAATGTGTCTATCGCCTTAGGTTGCAGCGGATCCGACGTCGGGCAGACCGGTTGTTCTGAGTATTCGACGGTTGAGAATCGGCCATTGAAAAGAACGAAACGGAGTTCTTCATCTTAGGGGTGAGAAAGTAGCTGGATGAAGTAGGCAATGCCAGAGATGAGTCTGGGAACTGAGTTACTGTTTCTGGGCCCCACGTTTTTAATAATCATGGAACTTGATGTCCCAGAATTCTACTGGATCGATTACACTCGGCTCTTATATACATTTTGGTGGGGTGAGATTTATTTGCCATGCAATGGGAGGGTAAATAACTTACTGTTGAGGTGTTAAATCCTTTCAATAAGGTTGCATGTGGGTCTTCTTGATGAGCAAATTGACAATTGACATTTTGTGGATAATATCAGTAGGGAACTACATGAGACCACTTCAGTTTTTCATGTTGCTTTTGCCATCTGATTGTTGTTTACAGGATTGGTATTGATATTAGTGTTTCCTATGCGGTGGAGAAGCTGGGGTTCATCAAGGCGGAGGGGCCAAATTGGGACGTACATGCTGTTTCAGCCAAGAAAGCTCCACTTGTCTAGATGTAGGGTGTTATTTTGTATCCAGAGATCTTGTTAGCCTTTGAGTCCCATTTTGATGCTGGTTCTAATGTTTTAGAACCTGTTTGGGTATCTTAACCATTCAGAAAAGGCTAGGGTGTCCATGCCCATGGGCCCATGGCACTCTGCCACCTCCAAGGGGTGGTAGTATGACACCAAAATCCCTAGACTTTGACACTTATCTTTTTAAATTACTATTGTCATGCATGTGCATGACAACAATCATGTTTTGGATGGAGGCTGGTGGTGGATTTCAAGGCTTTAGCCCCAGTAATGCTGTGACAAATTATATGGAACTTGTGGCATTTGACAAGTGAAAATGCCTTTGAGACCTGAACCATGGGCAGGCTGCAGCACTGATGTGCTGAATTATTTGTGTGTTTCTCTGGAGGTAAAATAAGCTTGCATATGCACATAAAGTGTTGATATCAATGCATATTAGGCTTAACTGGATAAGCTGATGCTCTATTGCCTGCAAACAAATTGTGTTATTGCAAGACTATTTGTTGAGTATGCAGTCCTTCACAGATATGTTTTGTAGAGTTGATCAAACACAACTTTCAAAATTTTGCTGAAAACAGAATAGGGGCACAACTTCAAAGTGATCCAATATATAATGATATGAGCTGAATTAAAGTTACAGTTGCAATGAAGGCTGTGACTGCACTACTGTTATGTGCAGTTCTGGATATCCACCAAAATGTTATTGTCTGTGGTCATTGCATATATGGGATCAGCTTCCACAATCAAATGCATGAAATGTGTTATTCTTACTTATTTTTTATATTGCTGAACCAAGTCACATTCTGAACACTGACACTGGGATGCTGAACCTGCAAATGTTATTGCTCACAAGTCATAATTTTGCATGTGGTGACAATTTTTTGCATGTGAAATTGCATCAACTTGATTGGGGGGGGGAAATTCTTGAGTTACTGCTACCTGTTAACAAACATCTTGAGACAAGATTCCTTTTATGTATTTTATGTACCATATATTATTTATGTCATTATGTCCATTTTAGTATTTGTGGTGACATCAGTGTCCAGCCATGGCTTTCATCTATACTGTATGTGACTGAAAGCTCAAAAGCCATCGATATATTTCCATGCAAGCATGCCGAATCTGATTCTCACTCAGTATTATCTGCATTACCCAATAAGCATGTGAAACCATGTGTCTTTGTCATTAACAAAAATGACAGTGATAGGCTAAGTGGAACAATTATCCTGCCTAAGTCCCCTTGTATCATGTTTTCAGAAGCAGCACGCTGTTGTCAATGGCTCTTCTTCTTCGTCAGCTGTTGAGCAAGCTCCACCCAGTGCAAAAGTGTCAGCTGGTCGGCAGGGCTTTCTCCAGAGATTTTGCGGTAGCAAGTCGACTTTCCGCGGCGCTCGTGACATCGCATGACAATGCCCCTGGCCAGCTAGTCGCGCCGGAAGCGCCGCGGTTGTCGGCCGCGCGGCGACTGCACACCTCCGGCCGCCAGCGCGGCAAGGTCATGCCGTTCCTGCTGTCCGACATCGGCGAGGGCATCGTGGAGGTGGTGGTCAAGGAGTGGTACGTGAAGGAGGGCGACACGGTCAGCCAGTTCGACAGCTTGTGCGAGGTGCAGAGCGACAAGGCGTCCGTCACCATCACCAGCCGCTACGACGGTGTCATCCGCAAGCTGCACTACAGTGTCGACGACATGGCGGCCGTTGGCCGGCCGCTGGTCGACATCGAGACGGAGCCGGGCTCTTCTGACTCGGAGGACGAGGTGCAGGAGCGCGATGCCATCGAGGTGGTGGGCGGCGAGCACTACACGCTGCCCATTCCGGCTAAGGTGCTCACGACGCCCGCCGTGCGCCGCATGGCCATGGAGAACAGCGTCACGCTCAGTGAGGTGAAGGGCACTGGCAAGGACGGCCGCGTTCTGAAGGAGGACCTCATCCGGTTCGTGGGGGAGCGCGGCATGGGCAAGCCGCCGAAGGTGCAGGACTCGGGGGAGGCGAAGCCGCCGCAGCCGGCGGCGGTGAGGCGGGCTCCAGCCGACTCGGCGGTTCCGGCCGATTCGGTGGCTCCGCTGTCCCTGCCAAAGACCGCTAACGTCATGCTGGCCGAAGACAAGACGACTCCTGTGTCGGGCTTCACCAAGGCGATGGTCAAAGCCATGAAGCTGTCGATGACCGTGCCGCACTTCGGCTACTGCGATGAAATAGAAATGACGGCACTGGTGAATCTGCGTCCGACGCTAAAGAAAAGCGCCGAAGCGTTCGGCATCAAGTTCTCCTACATGCCGTTCATCATCAAGGCATGCTCGATGGCGCTGCTGCATTTCCCCGTGCTCAACGCGTCAGTGGATGCCGCCTGCGAGAAGATCACCTACAAGGCCAGCCACAACATCGGCATCGCTATGGACACGCCGAACGGCCTAGTGGTGCCAAATGTGAAGCAGGTGCAGCGGCTGACGCTGCTGGAAGTGGCGCAGGAGCTGAACCGGCTGCAGGCGCTAGGCGCACGCGGCCAGCTAAGCGCCGGCGACCTCGCCGGCGGCACGTTCTCCCTCTCCAACATCGGCGCCATCGGCGGCACCTACGCCAAGCCGGTGATCGTGCCGCCCGAGGTGGCGATCGGCGCGCTGGGTCGCATCCAGAAGCTGCCGCGCTTCGCTGCGGACGGCTCCGTGGTGGCAGCGCACGTCATGCAGGCCTCCTGGTCGGCCGACCACCGCGTTATCGACGGCGCCACCATGGCGCGCTTCTCCAACATGATGAAGGCCTTCCTGGAGCAGCCCACCACCATGCTGATGCAGATGAAGTAGGCGCGAGGAGCCGGATCGCGCCGGCGGCAAGGAGTGCTCAGTGACAATGTCTTGACACTGTCCACTTGTCCGGGCGCCGTTCGCCGTAAACGGCCGGGACGGGGTTCTCGGGTTTCATGAAAGCAGCCTGTGCGCGTGCCGAGTCGGCGGCGGGCCTGTGAAGCGGCGCCAGTGCTGGGAATGACGGGTATGGGACCTTTGCTCTGTTTACACTCAAGTACGCCACGCGAGACCCAGCGGTCGCGGGTCCGGGCTGGAGGTGCTCCAGACGTCGGACGGCTTCCATCTGAATTTAGCGGGACGGCTGTGCTGGCCGGTTCTTGCGTTAGGAGGCCAGAATTGACGGGGCCATGTGCGCGGTCGGGACGCAGTCAGGGATCGCTCCCGGCCTGCGTCTGTGCCTGGATGTTCGAGCCAACTAAGTCCAGGCGCGGATATTCGGGTCAGTTGTCGAGGAAGAAGGCCGCTGCCATGATCTGACGCTGCGCGTTTAACTTACCTGGCCCCTGAGTGAGAGCCTATATTGCGGGCAATCTAGAACCCAGACAGAAAATAGTGCAACGCTGTTTGCACAAGATGAACCGATGTGAATGGTTAGCTTTTGAATATGCCCTGTGAGAGACATGTTCTGGTGTGTGCTTTTTTTAGTAAAGCTGTGCTTGTTTTGTCAGATTTACCTTGTCCGTGGCTAAGTGCAATATTTTGGCGTTGCCGGTCTCGTAAAATGTGATAGTTGCCTATTGTCGGGTCGTTTTCCATGAATGTCTGCTGATACTTTAAGACGTTTGTGGGGTGCCGGGCTGGTGATAGGTATATTTCATGTGTGTGTGTGTGTTTGCTAGTCCGGGGAGCCTACCACATCGTGTAGATGTTTTTCAAGGGGGCGTCGGAGGAGTACTGGATGTGTTAGTACGTAGTAAATCGTCAGATGGCGCTGAAGAACAAATGCAATAACACACGCAGTCTCGGTTTTGACTGACGCTTTTTTGGCAGGCGAGTGGCAATGCTCATTGCTGTGCCCTAAGACATCAAAGTTTGGAACGCCCTAGTTGAAGCGATGCTATCTTGGAGATGTTGTCATCAACCGCGCTAGTAATCAAGATGTGTGATTAAATTTTCGGAAACTCCAAGCCGTGTGGTCTGACAGACCACCACACTGTCGTCCACAGTGCTTATAGTTCTTTGCAAGAATTTATGCAAATATGAACCCTCTTTCAAGGTTACCTATTGAAGTACCTCCAACGATTGCTTTACGGGCCATTTGGCCGCTTTCAGTTCAAGTTTCGGAAGCTAGAAAACAGCGTCCGGTGTAAATGGAAGCCATTTCGCCGAATATCTCTCGTTTCCACTGACCGCACTTAGCAAGTAAACGCATTAGTTTATATACGATCATTTTCGCAATGCTGTTTACAAGGACTGAACCAGCGAACTTTACCCCTGACAAGCACGCGAGAGTGCATGTGCGAGGTATGTGTGGTAGCACCGACGACCACCAGCTGCATATGACAACATTTTCCCTGACCACGGGCACCGTCTCTTCTGCACAGCTGGGCGGGGGAGGGAGGAGGCGGTAGCGTGTCACCAGGCGCTGGCCGGCCGGACTCCGCCGATACACCGGTTCACGGCACACTGTTTGGTATACAGCTGTCAGTGCGCGCGACCGCCGGCCCCACTGCCAGACGTGTCCGGAGAGCCGCCGAGCAGGGAGCGCGCGTGCCGCCGGACCATGGCCGCCGTCCGACTGCTGCTGTTGCTCTGTACGCTGGCCGCCGCCGTCGCCGCAGTCAGCGGTGAGTGTCGGCGCCGGGGGTCGGTCAGCCGCGGCTGGAGACGGTCCCAGCCGGGGCTTCTCCAGGTCGGCCAGCCGCGGCTGGAGACGGTCCCAGCCGGGGCTTCTCCACCTCCGAGCATGTGGCCACTGCCGAGATAGGTGGGGAGGAAGGGCAGTAGACAGTTGAAGACTTGCCTTGTTTTAGTGGACTAATGAGACGCGTGCGCTGTTGTTTTCAACTTGAGTTTACATTTGTGTTCGCGTTAGGTGGCTGTGGCTGGTCCAGAAAGAGGAGGCATTGCCCATCTGGCTTTGCACTAGACACACCTACGTTGCCTGTTGCTTTCTAATGCAGAAACACCGATGAGTGGTTGGCGTGGTGCCTCAGTGACTGTAAACCGCATTTTGGTTGGTTGCAGTGCTCATGATGCAGGTAAATTAGTTTATTTGGGACGCCAAATGAACTTAGTTTCGGGTGGAGAATATGTAACCGACATTATCATTACCGGCGTCACAAGGTGTTGATGTGCCAGTGGACTGTAGATCATTTACCCCTGAGTCTATGGTATATATATATATATATATATATATATATATATATATATATATATCACTTACAACTTAAGACTAGACTGCGATGCATAGTGTCAATCAACAGCAACGGTGACAGCCTAAAGTCAGCACGAAAATTGTCCAGATTGGGCGCGAAATAACCTCTGCATCTGAATTGCCATTTAGCCTCAGTAACGTCACAGGCAGCTATGATCATTGGGGACCGTATGACTGCGACATTATGCAGGAAGGCCGGCTGTGCTGAGGGTAGCGCATGCTTGAGTCCTTCATGGTTCTTAAGCTGGGGAGTGTGCGCATGTCATGCTGCGCGATACACGCCATAGGACCGCACCACATGCAGATATGTGCACCAGATGATAACAAAGACTGCCAAACTAAAAAGAATGCAGACCACGCGCTACAGCACGGATGCCGCAGCAGGATGTAATGAAGACCACATCCTGACATTACAGATTGCGTGCCATGCTTGTCACGAATAGTCTCGACCGTCAGTGACAAGTTGGCAGAGAGGACATATGATCTTAGTTTCTTGGTAGAAAAGTGTCGCAAAGCATTGTGACGTAAAAGACGAGTGCAATTAGTAAAACAAAAGTGCAAACAGGAACTTTAAGGAATTTGCTCGACCTGTCATGTTGCAGAATTGCAAATGCATCTGCAGAAACGCTTTTACAAAAAAGCTGCACAGTTAGAACAATCCTTTAAAGGTTTCATAAGTAAGTAGCAATATCACGCCAGCAACTTTCCACCCCTAAAGCCTCCACGCGCCCGCTTGGCCAGTTGAATACCTATCGCTCGGGTGGGGTGGGGGATGGGGGCTCATTTTGACACCCTGAGATCTCAGAAACTAAGACAGATACAAACACCAAATCATGGGAAGTGTTGGGATGTACGTTAATTCGTTCGTGCCAAGCTTTGAGGTTCCTAGGTCATGATCTTAGGGTCAAATAAGGTCAAACAAGATCAACCTTTAGATCAGTGTCCAAAGCGCCCCCCCCCCCAGACCTTCTCCTGCAACCGCCGTTCACCTAGATGCCTTAAGCAAAAGGTTCTAAGCAAATGGGCAAGATGTTCTAGCAATGGGTCACTGGTGTACATTTAAGGTTGGTGACCTTGTTTGACGTCTCGAAGGTCATGGTCACCAAAATCATACAAAATTGTTTTAATTTCTGCATTTAGATATGGATTAGGGATTACGCTGGGCAGTACATTCCTAACAACAAAGGTTGACCTGGGCCATTTTAGGTCAGTGACTTATTGTGACCTTGTAAAGGTCGTTGAAGATGCATTATGTGGTTCGTGCTATCAGCAACCTCAAAATGAGCACCAAAAACTACCCCATGTAGCAAGCTCTGGGGTAAGAACAGGTTAGTTTTTACCTTGATCTGACCTTCATACTTGACCCTAGGTCAATAACCCTTGACTCAATTTTGAGTTTCGCAAGAAGCTATCTCAGAAATGTGTGGCCCTAGTCCAAACGCTCCGTTGTTGCATCAGGTTAAGCGATTCGCCAGAAGCTGTTTTCGCTGAATCCATGTGATGACTTTGATCTCACTGAGGTCAGCGAGCCTACATGGTGCATGCAAATGCTTGATGCCTAGCGATCCGATCTTCAGTTGTCTACACCTAGGCAAAATTTAGCGTGGCTGCGCGGCGCCGTTAGGAATTATTCCAAAAAACCTTCGGGAGAGGGTTCAGATTGACCTCCGCCCACCCGAGTGCGTGTTAAGAGTGTTGCAATTGTGTGAGGTTTGTAACTGAAATTGGCATTTTGAAGAGCTTCCAGTGCGGCTTACAACTCTGTCCCTCTAAAGACCTAAAACCATCTAGTTTTTTAGCTGCACGCCCACGAAGATGTGCAGACTTTTCATGCAACCTATTTCAAAGTCATTCAGGCACACATAACGCCATAGAAATGTCATTGTAGTCCTGCCACCCCATTGGCCATGCAGTGTTCAAGGCCAGGAAAACATAGATTCGTCGAGCCTGCCATATCTAGAAAACGTGAGCTCGACTTACAGATATAATGGACGTCAAATGACTCCCAATCAATGATGAGCAGACTTGTGCAAGTTCCAATCACGTTCATTTAGTTGGATTAGAGCTCTTTTGACCAGTAAAGATTATCTCAGGGATGTGGGATGAGGGGGAATAGATAACGGTGGGACAGGACTGCATGCGCCTGGGGGACCAACCGCCAAACCCCAGCTCGCGCAGAAACCCCTCTGTGGATATGTGCCGAGCGCCGGTCGGGGTCCTGCTCCACGGGGTTCCTCGACCTACTCGTGGCTGGCGCATTTAACCTACCGCGAACTGGCAGGGCGTCGTGAGGATGAAAGATGAAACAAGAAAGAGGATATACCACTGTTTTTCACAACGCAGATTGAAGGGGAATGCGATTCCCCCGTCGTTTTCAGATTAATAAAGATAGACCTAAGCGGAAAACACCAGTAGATTCGTATTGATTGCATATCGCGGCTAATAATAATTTTGCCAGGCCAAAGGTCAAACTTTCCCGAAAATCGCATTTTTTCAGATTCATGACCGACAGTGAATACTAGATATATAAAACTATGGACAACAGTATATAGTTTTTGTGTGTTTAGAGCATGCATTTATTATAAATGGCTACGTTAATACACCAATGTCGGCCCGGCGCACGCTTTCCGCGGCATCATCGGATTCTGCCCATGCCTGCCACAGATCGCCGTGCAGTATTCCCCAAAGAACCACTCCTGCTCCGAAACCAAAAAAAGCTAATGACGCACTTGTGGTGCCAAAACACGCGCATTGAACACCCCATGGGCTGTTGAAACTTTGAGCACCATCGCATAACATGCCGGAGAAGTATCCTGAAAACAAGTTAACAGGGTCGCCTTAACCCCCATGCGGGCCTCGGTGCAAGGTAGGTACCTCCAAGACTGGTTAGGCGGCGGAGGCGGGCTGGAATGATGACGTACCTGAGCCTTGTAATGTAAATGGCTCGAAAACCTAAGCAAACTGGGCCAGACGCCTTCGGGAACCCACACACACGACTCTTACCAGTGTATTGAAATATCACAATCGACAGCACGATAGGTCGTGGCTTAAGCTGTCCGCCCTGTTGCAGGCGCCGGCAACAGCACGGTGACCTGCGAAGCCGGCGCCTTCGCCTGCGCCGACGGCATGCTCTGCGTCCCCAGCACCTGGCGCTGCGACATTGAGCATGACTGCTCGGACGGCAGCGACGAGTGGAACTGCGCGGCACCGGCGTGCGCCACCGGCGACTTCCGCTGCGACTCCGGCAGGTGCATCCACGGCTCCTGGCGCTGCGACGGAGACCAGGACTGCCCAAACGGCAGCGATGAGCAGAACTGTTCTTCGACCGGCTCAGAGCAGCCCGAGGACCACGAGAGGCCCGAGCGGCCCGTAAACCGCACCTGGGTGACCAGCGGTGGCCGGCCCGTGATGCCCCAGGCCGTGATGCTCTTGGCGCCACTGCTGCTGCTGCGCGGCGCTCACGCTCTGTAATGATCACCGGCGTGCGGTAACGTGACGTCACGGTGACCCGGGCGAAGGTCATCGCCCTGACGATAGGCGAACGCGAACCACCCGGCACAAGTGCCTCCTATTGCAGTGCGAGGTCCCGCCTGATCGAATGAAGTCCGCATATGGACAGTGGGCGTCCCCGAAATCACCGCGCAATGACTGCACGGTACGCGGCAGCAGCAACAGCAGCGAGCAGCAGCAGCAGCGAGAAGGTGGTGCGGCTCCGTGGTGGAGAATCAGCTGTCGAGCAGGCTCCGGACTTCGCGAGAGGAGGGGGGATGGGGCAGAATCCGTCACTCTTGTGATAGCTGTACCGTGCGCGGTGCGGACGCTATGCGATGCCGCTAAGAAATGCGGGACTCGTGAGTAGCGCATGGCGTCGCACATTTTGTTACACTTGTAGCAGAGTGAGCGAGGCCCAGTTTGAGTTTGTTTTGTCCTTGTTTTAAACTGGGACCGGTGGCATTCATGCTCTCTGGGAAATGATATATTTGAATACAATGAGAGCGGTGTCATGCTGTCTTAAGCCATATTAAGCACACAATATGCTCCAAATTTCAACAACTCGGCAACTCCTAACATGTTCACGTTTCGCCGTACGAACGCAAAGGATTTGCAGGCAAAGCAATGTGTACGCGACGTTTCCACACGACATTTCAGCGCGAGGAAAGTAAAGCGTCCTCGCTCGATAACATCGGAAACCCTAAACTCACGGGTCCGAAGCCCAAGCTTAGGATCGTCGACCGAGTGTCGTAGCGGAATAGGATCAACACATTTAGGCTGAAAAGGGAAGAAAATGGCATTGACAAACGCATAGCTTGACATGTGCAGACAGTGTGGGACCTCGAATAAACTAAGAATCTGACTGTTTCTGTACGCTTTGAACACTTCCTGTCAGTCTACGGCAACTGTAGCGAATACCGATGTTAAGCCAAATGCACAGTGCTGCTGAGAGCCACTGTCTGTAAAGCAACAAGTGATCTTGGCAACACCCAATCCGTGGCTGTGTCGGAGATCGACCGAGAAACGCCAATGTTGCTTCGTTTGAAACCGGTCTCGAATGCAACGCGTTGCTGTACAAACCAATACATGTGACCATGACACAGACGTAGTCCAGTTCCCTGTGATCAGTATGAAACTAAATTATTTGCGTTTTTCGCAGTACCAAAGGCGAGCGTTTTTAACTAAAAATGCATCGCTTTTGTAGGCAAAAGTGCTCAGCCTTGGTCAGACCCACGGCCAGCAAATTTCCAAACCAAGCAATTCGTTGACCTACCAAAGCTCCATCAGTGTATTTCTGCCTCCCAAAGTTCCATGGCTGACGAACTTTCCCAAACATTGACAATGCCTGGTTGGGTGGGTTTCTGCGGGGTCCGACTGCACTTCGTCTATATGCTCATGATTTGTAGCTTACGTCTGTTATTGTCTCACTGTGCCACGCAGGTTACCTTGCTCGCCACAGTTTAAGGTACTTGTCAGAAGTATTAAGCCGCCCGTTCTGACGTGTTGTAGCACAACCAGCGGTTCTCAAGTTCCGAGCGCTCACCCAAATTGCTTTGGGAGTGCCCGTCGGGCGTTATCACAGTGTTTTGAACCGATGTTTCACTAAGACGTAGTCTCTTGAGTGCAGGAACGTCACGCAAAGTGAGCGTTTGTGCCTCACATCACAGTGCTATGTGGAAAGCTTGTAATCAAAATGCCAATTTAGAAAACATCCACGTTTGTACTGGCCACATCCAGGGGATACAAATCTGGTAATATCAACTGATGAATACCTGTTTTATGAGAACCAAGACCATCCCATGTATCGCGAAAGATCACCCAGACTTATGCAAGGCATGGTCCAACCACTCACCTGCCAGCTAGCTGGGGGGGGGGGGTTACGACACAGATCTAAAGATGCATGTTTGGGCACGCGCACGCATCAGGCTAAGTAGAGGTGGGGTGCCTACTGCCCGCTCACAGCGCAGATGCGGCTAGGACCGGAAGGAAACAAGCCGCAGAGGCAGCCCTATCCAACTTTAGAGACGTAAAGCTCTGGGCTTTGCAGTTTTGCGGACATGTGTGTAGTTGCCTCATGCAGGCGCTCCAATGCAAAGCTCAGTTCATTATGCCCCGTGGTTTACCGACAGCCTGATTTTGCGGGTTCCATACATGTCCGCGGATCAGGCAGGACGCCAGCTTGAGCAATAATCCGAATGTGCACGTGCACGTGCACGGGTAAGCGTATGGGAGAACTGTCGATCAAAGCTGCACCGATGGAAAACTCTCCATTTCATGTTGTTCCCAGTGATAATAGCGCTGGAGACTGTCCCAGGGTGGGGTCAATCATGGCGTGGATCGATTCCCACCAAAGACAAGCGCATCGCTCAGATACGAAGGCTAAGGATTTTTCGATGGTTTTGATCAATAACAGGACAATGAAAGCAACCCTGCGTCCCTCCGTTGCCAGGACTGGCGTCCAGGCGCCAGAGAAGCTATGGACGAATTTCGGGGGTGGCTCAAACCAACCAAGGAAAGGTGGTTTGTCTCTCGTAGTGTACCTTTTGATTATTTCACGACAGATGTGAGCGTTCGTTGTCCAATGTTTCTGTAACGATTTAAGCTGGACATTTTGAAAGAAAGGATTTCTGGAATCAGAGCTCACACTAAGCGGTGTTTGTGATGTAGGCCCTGAACCCTTCCACCCGATCGTGCAGTTCCAAGCCAGCGGCAGAATTTCATGGCGGAAGTTTAACGTGCTGCGATGTTTGGAACAGCCCGTCCTGCCCTCTGACGTTACCTGACCTTGCGCGTGGCCACTGTCATCGGTCGGAAGCCATATCTGTCAAGGGCAAATGGATGGTATGCAATCTGTTCGTAAAGCGTTGGTTGGCCCGCATCTATTTTCCTCTAATCTGGTGTGCTCTTTCCTCTAATCTGGCGTTCCTCTAATCCTCTAATCAATGCTGGAGGATGTTTGTACGATAGCGGCCAAAGGAGTGAGGCTCAGTGGTGGCTCAGTTCTGGCTTTCCATCCCGTTCAAAACCCTGCTATGCTCTCTTGCGTGGAATGGTCTGGAATGATGAGTTGCTCGAGCCGTATCTGGTGTTGGAGATATCAGATACGCGGTATCTGATATCTCATCATCATATCTTCATGCAACGTCAGCCGTGCAGCGTCCACTTCCATGACGCATTTACTCCCTTTGCTGCCGTTTTTTGGAGAGATAAGAGGTATAGGATCTTGCATCCATTTATTGCTAGTGCAATGAACACAGGACGCAACCGCAGTGAAGCACACGGGACACTTATCAAACATGGCGCGCGGGAGAAACCAGCATCCAACGATTCCTGCCACCGCGCAGCCAATGAGAGATATTCTAGGACTGCTATTTGCTGAGGGCGAGACAACGGCATCAAAATGAACGGAGGTGGGCTTTTCTCTCGATCTTTGCTTTCGTCGATGGTCACTTCCTTGGATCTGAAAAGAGGCGGAGCGTCAATGCAACACGACATCAGAGTGCCCAAGGGACAGCCGCCGGGGCCATAGGATGAATGTCGCGCCCACCCTCAGAGCTGAGAACTAACCACTAGTGCTCTACTGACTTCGAAGCAAAAGCCTGCACACACGAGTCGTTGATCCGACTAGGCATTGTCCTGCAACTGTTAAAATAGACCTGCAGTGACTTCGGCCGAGTTAAAGCCCAGACATATCAGATTACGCCGCTGGGGGAAGGCTGACGTACCGTGCGGCCAGCCAGCAGGTGCTCAGGCCTTCTCCTGGTTGGCCGTGTCGGCCGACGCCGTGGACACGGTCTCGGCTGCGCGGCTCTTGGGCGCCTCGTCGTTGCTGATGCACACCCACGGCATGTGCTTGCGCAGCGCCGCCCGGTACTTGGGGTGGCTGAGCGCGTACACCAGCGGGTTGTACGTGCTCACGGCCTTCGCGAAGAGCGCCGGCAGCGCCGACACCAGCGGCGTCACCAGCATCGGGTTGCCGCCGATGCCGATGGCGACGACGATGCAGTATGGCGTCCAGCAGAGCGCCCACACGGAGATGTTGGCCAGCGCCACCTTGGCAATACGGATCTCGGCCGACTGCTTGTCCTGGTCGGCGTTGCTGCGCAGCGTCGACACGTTCATCTTCTTCGCCTGCTCCTTCAGCGCCTTCTCGTGCTGGAACACGGCGTTCACGATGTGGTAGTAGAAGAAGCAAATCGTTAGGATCGGCATCATATAGAAGAAGATGATGCAGCACCAGATGTAGGCGGTGTTGGTCACCCCGCGGTCGAAGTAGTCGAACGTGCACGAGTCCAGAATGCCCTCGGGCACGTAGGCTCCGATGCCGAAGAACGGTAGGAGGGTGAAGGCCAGTGTGTACCCCCAGATGAGCAGCATGATGCCGAACGCCTTGCCGGTGGTGAGAGGTGCGGCGTTGAAGGACTGCACGATGACGCGGTAGCGGTCCCAGCTGATGGCGACAAGAGAGCAGATGCTGCAGAGGCCGCTGACGGCACCCAGGAAGCCGGCCACCTCGCAGGCGCGCGGCCCCAGCTGCCACGCACCGCCCAAGAACGCGTTGTAGATGAAGGCCGTGTGGTTGGTGGTAGTCATGACGAGATCCGACAGGGTCAAGTTGATCACCAACATGTTGGACGGAGTGCGCAGCCCCTTGTCCTTCAGGAACAGGTACAGCGCCGTCAAGTTGCCGAACATGGAGACCACGACTGAAACGAGGCCAAACGGTGAGGCCCAGCCCTGCGCTGCGATCCTGACAAGGAACAGGAAGATTGCATTTATTTTTTTGCAGAGTGAATCAACGCCTAAGTTCAGCAAAAGTAGCCACTAGATACAATAAAGCCTGTGTCGACACTGGAGAGCTAATGTAGCGCATACGGGGACTGAAATATTACAACAGGCTCTCACCATGCCTCGACAAAAATGAAGTGCTTACCACCTCACATCTGCGCAACAAAATAGGTACTAGTCATCTCCTAGCTGATGAAGGGCGACAGCTGCATCGAATTTTCACACATGGAAAGCAAAAAGGTTTGAATAAAGATAGGTCAAGCGTACAACTGCACCGCTTACACTATATCACACAGTTGTCGAATGCCGACCATGTTGTACTTACACAAGACCAGGTAGATCATGCCGATCATGTAGTGCCAGAGCGGATTGACTGGCGGGAAGTTGTACCAGTGCTTGGGGATGATCTCAAGCATTTCGGCAGGAGCGGTGTCAGGCACCCGGGCGTTGGGGTCGAACATCCAGCCGAACTTCTCATCGCGGGCCGAGACCGCGAAAGCCTGAGGGCAGTCGACGAGAGGTCAGGCAGGAGCGGTGTCAGGCACCCAGGCGTTGGGGTCGAACATCCAGACGAACTTCTCATCGCGGGCCGAGACCGCGAAAGCCTGAGGGCAGTCGACGAGAGGTCAGGCAGGAGCGGTGTCAGGCACCCAGGCGTTGGGGTCGAACATCCAGACGAACTTCTCATCGCGGGCCGAGACCGCGGAAACCTGAGGGCAGTCGACGAGAGGTCAGGCTGGGCCGGCCCAGGAGGTCATGCTGGGGCTGTCCTTGATGTCAGACGCACTGGGGGTTTTCACGATTGTCCAAGAGGCGAGACTGAAGAGGTCCGTGAGGTCAGACAGGGGGAGGTGACCAAGGTCGAATTGTGAGCGGTTTGGGGGGCCCTGAGCTGCCGAGGGTCGAGAGGTCTCGAGCTGCTGAAGCTCGAAAGAGTTGACTTGAGATATCCGACGCGATTGCCCTGATAAAGCTGGCAATGAGTTCGGCAAAGGTGTTCACGAAGGTGTCACTGCCACCTAGGCTGAGCAATACGCGGTTAAGTTCAACAGCAGTAGTTGTGTAGATGATTTGGGCCTGATGACAGTGCAAAGTATTTAGCGATACGCAAAATTTAGGTTAACGGATTTTATGCGTTACTAGTCAAATGACTGTTCGTCACGCCTCAGTGAAAGCAGAGGTGCATAAAGAGACCATGGCTGACCAGGAAGCGCGGGCACAACTATGATGGACTGCACCCGAGGGCATTCCGCTGACATGCTGGCGAGGTCGGCCACCTGGACCGGGCTGCTGGTTGACGATCAGTCGCATGATATTCCCTCCCTATACGCGGCATGTGTGTATGTGTGTTGCATTATTCTGTCACATTCTTGAGATACTACGGGGCGTCGAAATCCAGCAACTGGGAGTGATGCAAAGGTTTAACACTGCTCATAAGCAAACATTATGTTATCTAGATGGCAGCCTAGCATGCACTATGTCCCAAACATACTAATGGGAGACTTCGGCACGTCGAAGTCCGATAGCTGAGAATGATGGAAATAGCTGCTGCCTATAAGCAAACCATTATGCTACCTAGGTGGGCAGTCAAGCATGCACTATGTCCTAAACAGAGACACTAGCAATTGCCATCAGAGGATTGCGGTTCTGAGTTGTAGATCCAGATTTTCGCAAGCTACAATAAGCCTTTTGACATATCATTTAATATCTACAATCCCCTCACAAATTTCATGAATTGTATTTTAAAACTAAAGGCCCAAATGAAAATTATCTCTCAGCTTTTTTAAGATGCCGGATCCACCAGTAGCTCTTTTCGAAGGTCAGCGCGATCCGGAACTCTCTGCCAGGATCGTGTCGCATGTCTGCCTGCATTTGGCGGTTTCTTCACACTTCTCGCAAAGTAAGACATAACCAAGCATAAGACCAAGTGCCCATGCCTTAAGTAAGTGCTCGCCGACACAACCAGTATACCGCATGCCGCCATTCCAGCGCCCTGGCAGCAGACCTTGGGCGCTATGGGCAAGGACTGGAGACAGGGGAAGCCGCCACCTGCATGCAGGACCTGGGGACCGCAGACTCACCGCCGCGTGAATGTTCGCCATCCTGTCGCCTCGGGTCTACCGACCACTGCTCACATGCCACTGGCTGTCTGGCGGAGATGGCGGACGTCGGCAGCCCTTTATACCGACAACCGAGCGCCGCGGGGCTTCGGCATGACCTTGCTCTTCCGCATCGTACCGCTTCTCCCGTCTTCGGCGGCGCGGCCGGGCCGACTTACACGCTGACAGCGATGAGGTGACAAGCACGCGTAGTTCCACTTACCTTTTGCATCGCCAGTAACAAAGCCTGGGACAACGCGGTCCGATGAACGTGGAATGTTTTTTACAGAGACGACGTATTTTTTCTCCGACTAAGCACCGCTGATCGCCAGCGCTTGACTTTAACGGCTGTTGCACACGCACTAACGGTGCCGCAGCCAAGCAGAAGGTTTGGGATTTCGCCCCTCCCTCCCACTCTCCTCTTGAGGTGGTTGGTTCCATCGGGCCTAAGTCTTTCTGGACACATTGCTATTAAGTGGTTAGACTTGTCTGTGAGGCTTGTAAAACATCAAAAACGCGGCTTGAGACGCCAAAATAGGACCTTGAGCTCGGAAAAAGTCATCCAAATAAGCAGCATCCCCCTCTTTTTGAAGCAGAGGGGCCCCATTGGCTGAAAGGGCTTACCATGACCCGATCTGACCGCTTGCTGGGCGAAATTATGGATTTGCCACTACATACTCATCATTACTATATTTCTACTTTCTCGTATACAACGTCGCCCGTATTGAGTGATGATTGTGTCATTGGATAAACACACTTAAGATATTGTTGCTTTCTGATTATTGTTGAAATGGGTGCAATCAAGCAATACTCGTGCTGCCGCTGCGAAAGCTTCTCTGATCATCAAAACGGCCGTTGGTTATCTGTAACGCAGACACAAGATGAGACGCCGTGTCCACGCTACAGATGTTTGCATTTTTGGATACCCTCGCGTAAGTGTGGAATTAGGGAGCCGGATGCACCACGGCCCTACCTCCTTCCGTAAAAGTGTTGTATTAGCCCTGTCTGATGCATGGGATGGATCGACTCCAAATAAGGTGCTTTACCCGCCCTTATTTGCGACATTTCCAAGCTGCCGTCCGGGCGACACGGTCGTGACCAACGGAGTTAATCACGAGGGAAACCACCCCTGCCCGCCAGCTCACCACCCCGGGTCCTAGTTGGTTTAGTATTAAAGGGATTAGGCTCTGCCAAAGACCGCTTTTACGGGCGAATACGTGGGCTGGGCGAGCTTTGACGCCAGCCCACCGGAAATTGTGCAACTCCAGCGGACCGGCCGGCCGAGCCAGGCCCAACTCAGCAGCCAGTCGGGCCTTTGACCGACGTATAGCTTTGCAGCCACTGGCTGTCCCGTCGTGATGTTCCGTCGACAAGTGGCACAATTCTTTAAACGCGGTGCACTAGTATTTTCAAAGCATTTTAAATGTAAAGCGCTTGGCAATGCAGCGTTATTATGCAATGCTGCAAGGTTGCCACGAGGTCGATTATCCTACACTTCACGTTAGAACATAATGTACCAGGTACAAAGTACTACTAGATCACAAAATGTTCGGCGTGGAGGAGCGTCAGCCATTGATCGGAAGGCCAGCAATGCCATCTCTTCGGAGGCCGATCATGAAAGCAAGGCACCGTGGCCTAACTTGAGAGAGATTCGGTCGTGAAAGCGGCATAGGCGCGTGCTTTTGTTCATCACGATCAACCCAACAATATTTGCGTAGTTGGCAATGATGTGGTTACAATTCCCCAAAGGTGTAAGTCGTAACAATTCCATCGATTGCATCGATTGAAATTGATAGAATAGGCCAGACTTACAAACCGGACTTCAAGCCATGTTGTACGTGAATCTATGCTCTGACGCTACCACCAGCGTGCCTCTGCCTGCCAAAGCTTTGAGAAAAAGATATCCCAGGGCAATTATAAGTCCAGTTCATATGGGTAACTAAAGGCGTCTGGCTATACCCCGATGTTGGATGCTACCTACACGCTGAAAACATTCGCGTTTGTAATTATCTCGCCAGTGCCGCAAAACGCCGCAAAATGTGCCTGACTGTTGAGAAACAGAGAGAGCGAGAGTGAGAGAAACAGAGGGAGAGAGAGAGAGAAAGAAAAGAGCGAGAGAGAGAGAGAGAGAGAGAGAGAGAGAGAGAGAGAGAGAGAGAGAGAGAGAGAGAGAGAGAGAGAGAGAGAGAGAGAGAGAGAGAGAGAGAGAGAGAGAGAGAGAGAGAGAGAGAGAGAGAGAGAGAGAGAGAGCATGAAGAAACTTGCGGCAAGCTCCCCTGGTTGCTGTTCTGTTTTTTTTTTTGCCTGGAGTTTTCACTTTATGTTTGATAATTGTGCAAACTCTTGCACTCAACATGAGCAAATTGCATGGGAGCACCGCTAATAGAACTTCGATGATAGCATTATTGTCCGCAAAGTCGCAGCCGAAGATGAGGCACAACAATGTCAATCTTTCCAATGGTCTAGCAATGTTTTGGGTGAACATATTATTTTTTAAATCATGGTGTTGTGCTCATTTTTAAGCATAAACAGGCGAAGACATCTTGGCACGTCAACTCGCTCTTTTTACTCTAAAACTCGATGCTTATCATCTGCCGTCGTATGCTGCGTATAACACGATTTAAAAAATGCTACCACAATGAGGCTTAACACACATTCAGGTGGGGGTCACTTTGACCCCCCCCCCACCTGAATGTTTTTCCAGAATGATTTCCGAAGGACGCGGCGTAGCCACACCAATAGACAACTGAATAGCGGATTTTGCGTTTTTACAAATTTTGGTGTACATTGTAAGGTCTCTGACCTACGGCAGGTCAGAGTTATGCCATGGATTCAGCGAAAGCTATTTCAAAGGAATCGTCCAACCTAATGCAACAATGGAATGTTAGAGGAAGCCATACGTCTCTAAGATAGTTTCTTAAGTAACACAACATTTGAATGAACAAACTCCGTTGACTTAAGGTCAGATATAATGGTCAGACTAAGGTCAAAACAATTTGTTTTTTAATCTAGAGCTTGCTGTATGGGGTAGTTCTGGGGCTCATTTCGAATTCATCGATAACAGGAAGCGCATAGCAATCTTCCATGGACCCCTTAAACGTTAGAACTGGCCACTGACCTAAAATGACTCAGGTAAACATTTTGCCTTTAAGAACATACTGCCTAGCGTAATCTTTGTTGCTTATTCAAATGCAAAACTCAAAGTAGTCTTGCATGAGTTTGGTCACCATGGCCCGCGAAAGGTCAACCGGGGTCACTGACCGCAAATGGGCACCAACAGCCTCTAACAGGTACCAATGTTCTGAGGGCACTTTGACATTAATCTTGAGCCTGACCTTGTTTGACCTTATTTAACCCGGAGATCATGACTAAAAAAAACAAATTTTGACACAAGTGTGTACACATGCAGACCAACACATTCTGTAAATAAGGTGTTTCTAACTTCCTCAGTTGCTTAGATCTCAGCAGGGTCAAAATGAGTCCATTCTCAAGCGAGGGGTATTCAACCGACCAAACGGGCGCATGTTAAGCCAAAAAACAGCTACGTTTGACAACTGCATTAACAACGGCGCCAAAGAAGCGGTGAATGAATCGACACGTGTGGTAATGACTTCATTTCGGAAAAAAAAATAATTATGATGCTCCCTATTTAAGCACGCGAGCGTGCGTTCACAAATTAGATGCAATTGTCAACAATATGCGAGTTCCCTGTTGAAATATCTCAAAGGGGTTGAATACATAAACATTTTGCCACCATGAGTCCATGTGTAGACAGCCTGAGACTGCAACCTCTTGCTAGAAACCACACAACTTGTGATATTCGATCACAAAGCGGTCAGCAGGCTTTGCAGGACTTATTTCTGCCGGGGCGGCTGAATATTTCACTCGCATCAGTCTATTGCTAAAAACTAGCCTTGTTCTTGTGGCGCACAATCGTGAAGCCAAGGTCTGGAAATCGGGTCAGCGCCCAGAAATCTCATTAGGGGTGACGGGTGCAACTGCAGCCAGCGCCCGCGCGCAGCGGGAAGCCCAACCACGGCAAGGCCAACCGACCCCGCGCGGTTTTCCGCCGTCCGCCGCGGCCATTTTTAGCCTCGGGTGCTCGGACCGTGGCTGACATGCCCCAATACTGCTTGGGAGGACGTCGGTCGGTCAGGTCAGCCGGTCCGCAGCGCTGCTGATCTGCGTCAGATGCAGTGTAAGACCACGCTGCAGGGAAAGCACCGCGCTGCAGCGATATATCTTCGGTTGTGGACTTCGTCGTCTTTGAGGAACTCGACGGATGTGATTCGACGCCGCTGAGAATCGCGACTGTGATGTTTGTGGGACGTAAATGACTTGTAAAAACTGACTGATTTTACCTCAGAAATTAAGAAATGAAATTTACGTGCTGGTTTGGGAGACGTGTGGGTATGGTTTTCATTTGCAGGATTGAATGTCGCATGGAGAGTACGAGTTTATCTCACATTTGCCGATAGGAAGGCCTCATAGATCGCTGCTATTTCGAAACGTGAATATGCTCAGGCCAGACAAGGATGGCAGAATCGCATGAAAATGAATAGATAGGGAAAACTATTCTGTTTTTGTTACGATTGCTCGCAGTAACCGTCACTTTTCATTGCTTATTACAAATCTCCAGGGAAAAGTAAAATACACATACCATTTTGATCTAACCCAATTATTATATTTTATCTGACTAATTTGTCTTTAAATTTAACCGCAGGGGTAACAACAGATGTGTGTATAAATGAGCCTGTAAACAGAGCCTACTCTGCCCCTCCCCGATTCTGATTCTGGCGTCGGTTAACTACAGCACTGGTGTTATCCAACCGCATGCTAACGAAATTGCATGGTTTAACTACCGCAATGAAGTATACCTACCTATTTTAGTATACCTGCCTATACCAGTAACAAAATGCACGCATGAAAGCTTAGCATAGCACATCTCTTGTGATTTGCATTGCTGCGTTCGTAGCCAGTTTAAGACACGTCTCGAACGCGTATCTCTGCAAAGAGCGCACACAGCACCAGGCGTTAGGACGGCATGCAGGAATACACGGCACGTTAGGCCGGCATGTAGGAATACACGGCACGTTAGGCCGGCATGTAGGGATAGAGGATAGCGCACCGAACGATGCCTATTTTAGATCAACATAGAATAAGCAACAGCGAAAGACAACGCGAGTTTCAAGACACCATTGTCGCTGCACATCCGTACACGGATGTGGTCAAGATTACAGCATCCGTCCCAAGCTGAGCACGCAAACGTCTTCTTGGAACTCGCTTTGAGCGACGTTGTTGTCATGCACGTAGAGCGACGTTGTTGTCATGCACATAACATGTTGCTGCTAGTCATCGAGGTGAACGTGGATGTCCGCTGGCAAGTTTGTCTCCATCGCCGCGCTCGGCACGGGCCATCGAGGCCTTTCGGTCTAGCCGCCTGCGTTCCGGGCAGGTCCCATCATAGTACCGTGTGTTGGGTGTCTGAGCGTAAGAGTCAGAGGGGTTGGGATGTTCGTGCTTTGGTCATGACGCCTGAATATTCGTGGCAGGAAATGTTCCAGCCTTATGCTCGGTAAAGAGCATCACAACCACTCTGGTTGGCCGCCTGTGCGTCGTGCAGCGCTTAACGTAGTAGCGCAAGCGCGTGTCGGGTGGTAGCATGCGGAGGCTCGAAATTGCATTCTGAATGTCGAAAACTGTTCTAATTTGGAAGCTCAGCCTTACCGAAACGCAAGCAACATGAGTTTTGTTTTACTTACGAGATGAAAAGGGAAGGAAATTTCTACGCAAGATCCTGTTACCTTGGATTTCTTTCTTATCATTCGCATAACAAACCCGCTTGCCTGCGCGCTAGACCGAGGCATTTGCTCTGCCTCGGCCTTGCAGATACTCCCTGTCAAAATTCCCCTTCCTCGCTCTGCTCTGCGTGCTGTTGTAGGCTGATTGCTGCGGAGCGTGCTCCACTATACTCGCCTGCTCCTGGTGTCACCCGCTCGGGGCGACGGTACCAGATGTCCGCCACCGTCGTCACTGGGGCTAGAATGCAGATATCGCGCATCGCCGCTGCCACTATGAACGCCATATGGCGCGGTCGGTAGGACCCTAACCTGCGCTCTCAAAGGAAATCTGATTTCCAAACAGGCTGAACGTGATCGATTATCAAATCAGATGACTGTTACATTACACAGAGAGCTATCATTTTCCACCCCGGGGTACACAAAATTTAGCAATGAAGGACGCTACCCATATTTTTCCCTAGAATTCAGTCTAGTATGCCACAGTTGGTCTCAAGTGCGCAAAACGTTCATGCACATATTCCAAAAGGCACGTGGGAATTGAAACTAACGCATGCTATCCGTTCCAGAGAAATTCTCGCTAACTAGGTATTTAAGTTTTGGGTTATCTGGCATTCCTGCTCATGAGCCAAGATCGTAAACATATTTAGGATATTGCTTGACATTACATGTACCGTAAGCCCAGGTGGAGAAGCGACCTACCGAGACACATTGGGTTTCGGGGAATATCTTTACGGACTCACGTCCTTCGTGTTTGCTTGAAGTGTGCCTGTAAATGTTTTTACTTATTCCCGTCCATCCCTAAGATCACATTCGCATTTTTTTCTATTTTCTTGCCCTTCTTCTTTGCACCAGCCTTACATCTTGAGCTCCCTCTATCTTCCTCATCCAACCGAACTGCCGAGAGAACCGTTTCAAGACGCGGAACCGAGCCTCTACCGGGCTCCAGGGCATTACCGGCACCGGTTCAAGACGCGGAACCGAGCCTCTACCGGGCTCCAGGGCATTACCGGCACCGGTTCAAGCTCATGCTTAAGCCTCGCGTGACAAAACTGCCGGCATTGTCTAAAATTTGGAGATAGCTGATTTATTGCTTCCAGGCATGTTGAGACCCGTTGGTTGTTTTCCCTATGACAGTTCGTCTTCATTTCATCGTGATCGCGTTCTAAACTGAACAAAAAAGAAGACAAACTCAAAATATCACGTAATTGTGTTACGTTAGGCTAGCAAGCTGTCCGAAGTTATTCTACTGCAGTGGTTTAAGTCTATAGCCGGAAAAAGAGATCAATCCGCAATCAGCCGAGCAGCTTTTGTTGGTTCTTTTGGGAGACCGTGGCATGCCATTGCCTCAAAATGTTGGTTGTCAGAATATTGCTAACGAGTGCCGACGGAGGTGCATGGTAGAAAACTGTGTGATAGACAGCGTGATAGGTCATAGTGCATCAGTGATTTTCATCAATGAGTGCAGACTAGGGCGTGTTTTTTAGCGATTATAAAACTGCAATTTTTTTCAACTTCGAGCTTCAAACATTTCCGAGCTTGAAGCATTGCTTTAGGCATGAGCTCACTCCCATTTTAAACATTTAAACAGCCGTTTTTGGACGCTGCATCAGTCAGCATCTGGTCGCAGGCACCATCATCAGGGTACCCTTTCGTCCTGTGTATCTACCCTCGTGAATCAATGTGTGCATTCGCGCGTCTTTCCGCCATCGCTTCATCTCCTTGCGCTCATGGGAACGTAGGTATCTGATCTGTAGTTGCCCTTTTATATTCGGTATGTAATGTTTCGTCGGTGGACGGAGAGCGTGCAGCCTCTTCTTCTTTCTGGTTCGATCTGCCAGGACCAACGATGCAGCAAATAATTTGCGGTAATTTGACGGTTTAAGTGTAATGCGGCGCCGGGGAGCGTTATCAACTGCCACACGTGCCATACTCCTAAAAGGCTCACTAACTTTATTTCATCAACATTTATGTCAACATGATTGTTGCACGCATCAACGTACACTTTCTCTATACAATATTGAGCTATGTTCAACGTGGCACCAGTGCCCGATCGCTATTCTCTTCGGAGTCGTCTACGAATCTCCACGGGAGTTACTTCCCTCTTTATCGGAAGGACTGTTTCTGATAGTTCTCGCAGATAAGTACAGAGTCAACGGTCTTAGATCAACACAACTAAAGAAGCACGCCATTTTTTGAAAATCACAGTGACAAATGTTAAGTACCAGCAACACGACAAGGCAATGAGGAAAACACTTGACCGCGAAGTAAAAAATGATTAATAAAAATCCGCCTTCCAACATGGAAAGCACGGGAGAGCTCAGACGCGGGGGCGCGTTGCCGGCGCCTGCAGCGCACCCGTCTCTACTGACTGGTGTCGTCACAGGGCGTCACCTGCGCTCCGTCACCAGGTGGCTCTGTCGCCGGCTCGACCACCAGATCATCTATCTCGCAGAGCTGCTCCGAGTCGTGGCGGTCGCGGCGCGACCTTGACCTCGCCTGACTCCTGGGCGGGGTACGCGTCGTCGCGGACCGCGGCATCCCCAGCAGCCTCTCGGGGAAGGCGGCCAGCAGCTCGGCTCGCATCTCCTCCAGCTGGGCCGACATCCGCTCGTTCTGCTCCTGGTACTCGAGCGCCTTATGCATCACGTGGTGCACGTTGTTGTTGACAGTGTCCATCTCCTAAGGCCACGGGCGAAGCAGCGGTCAGGCAAGGCTGCTCAGCACGAGCGAGCAGTTAGGCAGAGGCATAGTTAAAGGCGCATTTGCTTAGATTTTGACGCTGACGGCAGGAGAGGCGGAAAGATGGCGGACTTCGCACTGTCAGGAAGCTCAGCACGTCGGCGAAGGACTGTGAATTCAGTTCTCTACCACCGGTTTTTTTCTGGGCTGTGGAGTACGGACCGCCGCGATCTTTGGGTACTCAAGTCACCCACATAGTCTCAGCGCACATATATCCCGGTAATTATGGAACGAGCTCGATCTCCCTCGCCTGAGTATCAGCACTGAGGACGTGAGCGCTGCTGATGTCTGTACTGCTCTGACGCTACGTACCGACCACATGTCCAGCAGCTGCTCGTCCACCTTGCGGAACATGCCAGAGAAGGCGACCATCCTGTTGTTCAGGGACGCGGCGAGGGTCTGCAGTGACGTCACGCTGCCCTACGTGGAAACAAACGTCTCGTTACGAGCAATTGCTAGCAAAGGAATGGCCTTGGATCTCTTAATGGCAATCGCGAAAAAATACCCGGACACACTTGTGAATAATGGCATAAGGCAGGTAAAGTAGGTTGGCAGAGGATACCAGATCAATGGGACTTCAACCAATAGGATACTCTGGGGTGGGCTGTGATTTTCACCAGCGTTCTAGAACTCTGGACTATTTGACTATTCTGGACTATTCTGGATAACTGAAACTATCTGGACCCATTGCAAAAAAACAAACGGTTGCACTGAAGTGCAGGAATATTTGTGCCGCGGCAAAGTCAACCTTCGTGACGATCCATTACATACATACAAGCGCGTCCCACACCGGTGTCAGTTACGTTACGTCACAAGTGTCACAGGTGTCACGTCATGTCACAGGTGTCACAGGTGTCATACCGGTGTCGGTCACGTCACGTCGCAGGTGCCGGCAATGCCAAATTGAGGGGATACGCTGATTCAGCACACCTCGCATACGCGTATCCGTCCAAATCGTAAAACCCAGCACGACTACGTCGTAAGTCATTCCGAACCGGACCCCCCCGTGCCCGCGGCGGCCACTGACCTGCACAGCCGCCACGTCTGCCCTAGTGACGGCTAGCTCGGCGTGGGAGCTCTCCAGGCCGTCCGCCAGCGTCGCCACGCGGTCGGACAGGCCGCGCAGCCCGGCCGTCAGCTCGTGCAGGCTCGCCGCCACCGCCGGCAGCGTCTGACCTGCCGGCCGGGGCCGCCGCATCAGGTCACCACGGAGCAGGCACACGGCACACCGCCGGCTGCTGCGCACTCTAGAGACCCGTGGTTTGGAAGAGGGGTATCAGCTACCGTTTAGTTATATGGAGGTGCAGCGGTTCATGTCGCTCTCAGGTCTGTCCGGGTTACAACAGAGGACGAACGCAGTCCCCAACACTGATGCACGCAGAACAACGCGGGTCTTTGGACGGTATTGGGGCCGAGAGGCCCCCGGCTTCAGTTTGGCGGTGACTGTGGATGGTGCGACGCAAAATCCGGTACGTCGTCGTTTGTATCCGAGCCGTTTCGGACGGTAATGCCCATATCAGGGCCATGGAATTAAGGAGAGAAGTGATAAGCGGGGCAGGACCGTGTCCATCGTGGAAGCATTCCGCTAAGGAGACTCGCCGGCTATATAAACTCTTCTATGGGGCTTGTGCGGGCGGGTCAGAGGCAGGGGCACCCATCCCCCCTCATCAGTCCAGGGTGGCCATGAAACCGACTCATGGCTGATGCTTGCAGCGTGCCCCGATGATACAGGGCTTTGTGTGGGCTTAGAATGAAACGACCAGTGAGGAAAGCAGGGTGGGTGCGGCGGAGAAAATGCAGCCCCCAATGTCACCTTCCCGCGTGAGCGTCGATGTGAGATTGGACAACGACGAGCCGCTGGTACTGGCTCCACCACTGCTCCCGATGTCGACAGACTCGCCCTCCGTCTGCGCCAGCGGCTTGACGGGGCTGAACAAGGACGGGCGCTCTCGCTCCGCCAGGGTTGGAGGCGACGCGCGGAGAGCGGTGGACGCGGTGGACGCGTCCGTTCCTGCCATCTGCCGGCTGATGTCAGAAGCTGAAGTAGCGGAGACTGGCGCCACGGGGCTGGGGGAGCGTCGGTCGGGCCGCAGCTCCGGCATGGTGGTGTTGAGGCGGCGCACCACCGAGCAGCGCGAGGAGGAGGCGGACGAAAGGGACTCTTCGCTGGAGCTGTACTCGTATGCCGAGCCCGGGCAGCTCGTCTGACCAGCCGGGAGCCTGGAGGAGACAGTGATGGTTCAGAAGCTGAACGCTGATTGGCCAGCGCTCGTGATCTCAAGCAAATTCGCCGCCAATGAAAACAGCACAGTTAAAATCAGTGGGACACCGTCATGCAGTCATTCTTTTAGGAAAATTGGGCACAGATTGGTTGGTCATGGCTGACTCCATCATGGAATACCATACACTGGTTGTCTATCGCTTAAATGTTTACCTTTTTTATCTTTGACATGCCTTACGTGCATGCATCAATATTCGCCACATTTCTCTTGCATCAGACATTGTTTTGCACACTTGGATGATAAAAATCAAGTTAGATTCATGTCACTGCCAAGTTCCATCGCTCTAGGTATATTTTGTGCCACATACCAATATATAACGTTTCATAAGTAATGCTGTTGGAGCGTTTCTAGGTAATTATCTTTGTATCCAGTGTGACCGCGTTTTGCGTTCGCCCAGTGTTATCTTTGAGAATTGTCTGCTCGTGCCATCGCGACCACTTGGTGTCAGCCACTCAGAGAAGCGAGAATTTCGCATACAATTTGCTCCACAATCCGTACCAGACAATAGACGGGGCGTGGGAGGCATAATTTTAGACGCAACCTAATCTTCAGCACTAGCTGAGAGCACATCAAAGCACGCACACCTACCAATAAATGCTTCAGTGTTCTTTGGCTTCTTACAACTGGCGACAGTCTCGTTGCGGGGAGTTCATTCATCGCCAAGTGACTTTGTCCCGGAACGTTTTCCGCTGGCCCAAGTCTTTATAAAATCCAGGCATTGTACGCCCGGTACTCTTCCTGCCACTGAATTCTAAGGGAACAGGAACGCGCTTCGGGATTTGAGATCCGTCTGGCCCCTTGTTTTGCCCTGAAGACCTCGAATTGACGCATAAATTCCGTGGGTTCTTTCTTTACAAAAGAAAACGGTCTATGTTTTTATTTCAAATCAAATTCTTAAACTGGAAGCGCATCAATGTCTCAGACCAATGGATTGGGCAGTCATACAAAAAAAAACATTTAGACTTGAGCAGGTGCCACCCGACTAATGGGCCAATGTGACAGGCATGCGATTTGCATGCAATAGTGCCCAGTTGCGTGGCCAGCTGAGGCCATTGAGGCGGCTTTACAGTCTTCAGAGAAATTTTTTTCAAAAAGCGACAAGCTTTTAGAAAATTGGCAACTAATGTGATAAAGCGACCTAAGAATAACCTTTCCAATGTGAGTGAACTTGCAAGACCCTTATTTTCATGACACCTAGCGCAGTTTAAGTGGAGAGTACATGCAACTTTGGACTTGGCAATAAGAATGTCATAAGCTAGCGGCGAGCAGAACACTGCTTTAACCGCGCATTGCGTTAATACTCAGGACCAGCATTGCTACCAAATCATTGGGGGCGTTTGGGCGGGGCTGCCACATCGGCAGCTCAGTTGCCAGTGGTCGGTCCGAAATGCTCACCTACGCCCCCTACCGAGAGGGCCACAGCCACGACACCTGCGCACCAACTTTGCCGCGTCCAGCGCGGCTTGACTCCCGAATTCTGGCTGCTAGCTTGTTCTGGTGATTACAGACGTTGCCACGATCGCAACACTTGAAACTCAGAATCCCAGAACTGCAAGCGCGGCCTGAAGCACGCAGCTCGGCAGTGAACGCGATTGTTTGAAGTGCCATTGCACGGGGTGACCGCCGTCGACGTTATAACGACCCACATTCCAGAGCTCAACTAGCCATCGATTCGGTGTAAGTTTATTGCGAGCTCGCGGCGAACTTATCGCGAGCACCGGTGGGCGGTCTGCGTGTCGGCTCGGTAAGCTGGGCAAAACACTGATCGGCCACGGTTTAAAAGGCCCGGAAGGTGACAAATGAGTTAAATGTTAAGGTAGATAAATGTCAGCTGCCAGGCATGCAACTACAGTGCCAGCCCTCATCGGAACTTTCAAGGTCGCCCACTGACATGGCAGTGGCGAAAACAAACTCGCTCTGTATACCCATGCCGATGTCTATTACTCATGGCATGGCTCATAGTTTACAAATATAGATCTACACATGCACCGGTGATAGCACGCTCTTAGTAACGAGTTCCCACAATACAACTGTCCTGTGCCTAGGGCAGCGGAATGTGCAGAGTTGGAGACGTTATGCGAGGGTCGTGAAGTGAAATACAAAGATTAAGAAGCGGAACGGACTTGATATTAGCAAGACAGTTTCTGGTTTTTGACCATTATGAGTTCAGAGTTATGGTGCTGACAGTTATGGATTTTCAATTTACCTGGAGGCATCGGTTGATCAACGTTATCAAGTACGAATTGGCTATATTGCCGGTACTCATAACCATGAAAGCATGGCCAATACCAGCTAATAACTATTTTACCCGATAATCATAAAAAATGGCAAGAAAAAATTGAGGTGAATCGAAGCTGTTTTCTACGTCTAAATAAAGCATTCAAACCTCCTGCACCCTTTTGCATTTGCCTGGTACGGCTATAGCAAGTCAAAATGCAAACATGGCAGCTACTCTCGAATCCGTGGCGGATACAGGATCTGGAAAATGTTGAAAACATCTGATATTGAGCAAAACGATATAAAGAAAATAGCAGCGTTTGACCCCCCCCCCCCTCCTCCCCCCCCCCCCTCCTTCCCCCCCCCCCGGCTCACCTTGCAATACTTTCATCCGCTTTTGGCAACACCCAAAGTCGATGGCCCACTTATGATATGCTAAGGTTTTAGAGAACAACGCGTGTTTGGCACGGCTGAATGTAATACATACAAGTCAAACCGGCCAGTTTTCTTCCCATATTTGTGTATCTGACACCGCCCCTGTGACATGACGCGTCCAGTTGTGCGATATTTATGATCAGTTGGGATGTCATAGCTGTTTTCCCATCACTAAATAACCTCTTTGAAATTATCCACGTATTGATATGGGCAGCCGCCTCCCTCATGCCTTTCCCTGGATCAGCTCGTGGCATCAGGGTTTGTCAACGACATTGGTTATTTGCGCGTGTCCGCTCGTGCACGCTCCTTTATCCGCCCAGCAGCGTTCGTGCAACTGATGTCAACATCGAAGATAACGTCGATTCATCATGCCACTGTCATTCTCGCATTTTCTTAACACTGCGTACGGCAGTCCCATAAGTTTGACGGACGTAGCAAATGGTTCTTCATGGCTTTTTTCATGGCATAAAACCCTACTTCTGTCAATTATCGGCTTTCCACAGTCAGAAGTGGTGTGCCAATACCTGTTTGAAAATGCAGCGACTTTCCAACTGCAGGAACGTTAAGATACGTCCCAATATGAGTCAGGAAAAATTATCCATTTCATTGCCCCGCTGGATCGCTTTGATGAAAGACAAACGAAGTCACAAGGTCGCGTTGGCCCCTCCCCCATTCGCATGGAAATGGATTTAGGCCGGACCGGACTTGCGCTTACCTGGGACACAGCAATCAATGCAATTTTCACCTGGTGATGTATTGCGTTATACCAATCCGACTAAAATCTATTAACCAAGCTGTGCGAGAGGCCTGCTAGTGATCTCCTCATCCGTGATCACATCATCACAAAAGAATTAATAGTCGGTGTCTTAATTATGCTCCTTGCACCATAAATATCCGTGTGCAGGCGATTTGATGCATTATCCCGCGAATAGGACGGAAAATGTATACGAAGCTTCAACGTTAGACCCTCTACAAAGCGTATTGCTCCACACAAACCACACCATTCACAGATATTTGGGCTTACGATTACGCCGCTTGTTCAGGCCCCTGGCCTGCAAGTGCTAGGCAGATTACATACTTTGGTTTACGAACCACGATAAGATTACAGCTAACTGACACAGACTGGGTAGGCGAGAAAAGCGAAATAAGGTACCCGCATAAACTGTCCTACTCACAGGTTAATTGGTAAACAGGGAAAATGTAGCGCGATCAAACCCAGAACCAGCTGGAATAACTATGAGATGATAGGAAGTGCAATACCCGAGAACATCCAGAAGTTTTCCAGTCAACACCGAAGCTCATCTGTCGCAGCTGGATAGCTTGCTGAATAATGAAAACATGTGATAGAATGTCGAATTTTACATGCTTGCAACTCCGCTCCACAGCGCTAATATTTTCCAATACCATTGTCTTGCTGTTCGCTTGTTCAAGGTCAAGTGCATTCAGTAACAGCTTATGAGATGACTGACCATTTGCGTGATCAGGGGCGCAAGCACCTAGTGGCCCGGTGGTGTGTGTCATAAAATTTATTGCATGCATTAATATGGCAACGAACAAACGTTATCGTCAACAAAATTCGGGGCATGAAAATGAGCGGGAGGTAAAGAAATCGCGATACTTGTTATACCATGCTGAAAATTTCGAGCGTCTGCGGCACGCTAAGCTGTGTTCTCATTGACAAATTTTCAGTCCCCCCTCCCTACGAAATCCTGCGTACGCCCCTGCGTGCAATGCACATTAATTTTGTTGCGGCAGTGCCAGACGTCTGCTTTTTTTAAAGATCGAAACATTTTACAGGATTCCCGTCAGACTCATTGTTTCTGTTCAGCAGAGTAGGGCCATGTCTGCTAAAACCGCGAGGATCGCTGGGCCTGGGTATACCATGGGTCTAGCCAGGAGGGGCGTGGGGGGGGGGGAGGGAGGGCAGCGTGCCGGGCCCCACCTGGCACCGCGAATCAACAGGGCCTAACGCCGAGCTAATGGCAACAGCGGCGGCGCTGCTGGACTGATCAATAGCCAGCGCCGGCGGGAATCTGGCCGCAGGGTCAGGGGTCGTCAACGGGACCGACCGCCGAGCGGCAGAGGTCAGGAGAGAAACAAAGGTCACCTGCCTAGTGACAGAGGTCAAGTTAGGGCTCGTCGGCCGGGCCAGCCGCTGAACGGCAGAGGCCAGAAGAGGAACAGAGATCACCTGTGGATTTGCAGACTATTTCAGGGGTTGTCACCGGAACCGGCCAGCGGACAGAGGTCAGTAGAGGAACAGACATCACGCCCCGAGCGGCTGATGAGCAGAAGCCACCGACAAGATCTAGTGACAGCATGTCACAAGTTACGATGGGTTTATGAGATGCTGGGCCAGAAACAACTCACGTTAAACACACAACCCATATCGGGAGGTGCCGGCTAAACGACGCCATCAAGCAGTCATTGAGATATAACATGAACACCTGGAAACGTCCAATATACGTATAAAACATCTTAAAGTTTGCTCGATGTCGACGTTTAGCCAGCCTATTCCTGTATATTGCCGGCTGATTATATTCAGCATGATTATTTATAGCACCGAGATGCCAGGAGCGCAATGCTTGTCAGGCCGACAGCAGACTTTCTGGCCTCATTCGAGGTCAATTCATCGATTTTAAGTTCGATACTCACCTGTGTTTACTCCGCCCCAGCGGAATGAATTTCGCCCCCGACTCACAATGGATAGCATCATCATCATCATTGTGATAGCACACAGTGGGTGGCATCACCCCGACTGTACTTCAGGGAAGCGGAACACAGTCGAGTCGAATCGGTTCAGATTCAGGCATATTGAACCCACGGAGTTCCATTGGCACATTTTTGGTGAAAACAGGAGGATGCATTTTATGAAATACAACGGTACGTGTAATGCTCTTTTCGTGGGTCATGTCACATCTGTCAGAATCACATCTGTCATTACTCGCTATGCTGAGTGAGCCGACTTATGGATGATTATAGGCAATAGAGTTCACTGAAACTTTACTCTGACTCACATCGGCATTGAAAGAATTCGATGACAGATGGTCTCATAAAATGTTCTTGATTTCTGAGTCGAGTCGAATTCATCCGGAGTCAAGCGTGAGTCCGATCCAACCCGGTGCAATCCGTCAGAACAAAAGAATTTCCGCACATACCACGCACAAAATATCAGCTTGTTTTGACATAAAATGTCAAACGAAGCCCCCATGGATCAATTTATTGGTTCTTAAATGACTGAAGCCGTTAGCCCAGTGTCATTCCTTTGTGCTGGCCGGCTGGCCAACCGCACCCTTCAAAAATTCCCGCGAAGCAGCCCAGTCTAACCCATAGAACCTTTTCATTGCAGTCGGACGACATGGGCACCATGGTAGTCAGGCGATATAAACGGCATAGTGATCACGTCACATGGGCGCCGTGCTGCACAGTCCTGGCGGTGTCAGTAGTCCCTGCATCACCAGCGCTGACCCCTCCCCCCCCCCTGGTGCAGTACTGACCCACCTCCACGGCATGGACCATGTGACCATGCATGCATGGTCACATGGTCCGTGCCGCGGGGGTGGGTCAGTACTGCACCAGGGGGGGGGGGGAGGGGTCAGCGCTGGTGATGCAGGGACTAGAGAAGATGCTCGCCATTAAATTTGGTACTGATACTATGTATAGAAGCCTTCTCCACGGATTAAGCACGGAAAATATGTCAACGAGTCTCCATGGTAGCGAGCGCGGCACAGGTTCTGCGTGTCAGACGCATAAATCTGCGTCATAGAAGCTGCGTTCTCGTGGCTTTTCGCTAACGGCTGATTGACATTTGCTTAAGAAGTGACAGCGAGATTGAGGCAGCTGCGTCATGACATTAGGTCATGCGTCAAAACCTCTCGCAAACCTGATCCGTTGAAGTGGAACCGCTCGATGAGAGTGATGGGGTCAGTGTTTTTCTTCTGTATGCTATGCTTAACGAGTGTTGCGGTTCCAAATTCCTACCTGCACTGCAAAAATTCATCATTTTATCTTTGTAATTATCATTGACACCTGGCGTCAGGAGCGAGCAGGACAGCGGGCCGTCCCAGGGCCGAGGTCGGGTAGCAGCCCAGCCTGACCTGACGCCAGGAGCGAGCGGGACAGCGGGCCGTCCCAGGGCCGAGGTCGGGTGCAAGCCCAGCCTGACCTGACGCCAGGAGCGAGCGGGACAGCGGGCCGTCCCAGAGCCGAGGTCGGGTGCAAGCCCAGCCTGACCTGACGCCAGGAGCGAGCGGGACAGCGGGCCGTCCCAGAGCCGAGGTCGGGTGCAAGCCCAGCCTGACCTGACGCCAGGAGCGAGCGGGACAGCGGGCCGTCCCAGAGCCGAGGTCGGGTGCAAGCCCAGCCTGACCTGACGCCAGGAGCGAGCGAGACAGCGGGCCGTCCCAGGGCCGAGGTCGGGTGCAAGCCCAGCCTGACCTGACGCCAGGAGCGAGCGGGACAGCGGGCCGTCCCAGAGCCGAGGTCGGGTGCAAGCCCAGCCTAACCTGGCGGTCGGCTGGTCGGCCAGCAGCAAGCTGGGCTGGCTGCTGGCCTCGGGTCGGCGTCGTGCTGGGCCGCGGCCCCGTGGCCGACTCAGCTGGATGGCCTGGGCCGGCTGCAGTGGCTGGGGCGGCTGCGAACGGCCGCGTGACGGAGCGGTCCCGACCGCCGGCTCACACCAGGAGCTGGGACGCGCCGGCTCCTGCGGTGGGTACACACCCCGTGACGGCCCCAGGCGCTCGCACCACCTCAGGGGATCTCAGCGCCGACCGAGATAGACACGCGCTGCGATACTGTCTGAGTTACTTTACAACACAGACACAGGCACGCGCCGGGAAAACAGCGGCGGGGAACACACGACATGTTGTTTCATGTCCACGTAGAGGTGCACGCCGCAGACGGCACCCTCTGCGTGACTACGACCATAGGGGACATGGACGCTACGGCACCGTCTAATGGACTCACACAAGTCACATGCAGCAAGCGCTGAGTGAGCGCAGTCAAAAGCTAGATGTACGCTGCAGTACTGCCCGATAGTCCTGGAAATATGCCGTCGCACGCATTCGACGGTCGTGCTCTGTGTTTGATGCACCGCTGTCCGACAACGGCGGCCTGTTTTCGATGCGGCCCGTTTACAAGCGTCCTCCGACAGCGGCGGGCGTGAGAGGTATCAGCGATGGAATACGTGGGGCGTAAATGAGACTCTGACTTGGAGGAACGGAGATGAGTTCCAAAGAAACAATGAACTGGACATCGTTACATGGCAACGAATGTGATCCACGCTCGGTAACTGACAGATAAACACGCGGAGCTGAAATATTCGTTTCACCGCGGGGCAGAATGAAAGGCTTTGATACGGGCCTGATGCGCCCGGAGCCCATAAAGTGACTATTCTCGGAGCGTGCTCTCTCTCTCTCTC